AGGGGGGAGGGGGTAGATAGGGGAGAGGGAAGTCATAAATGCGTTTACGTGTGGACGTGCAACGGTATGCCAGGAGGCGACGAGGGGGTCATTTAAAATTTAAATTCACGTCCAACTGACTATAAATATATCAGCAGATACAGCTTCAAACGCGCACCCGGCACACGATAAATTTTCCATTTTTGCGGAAAACTCACAATTATGTGGTTTATATCCTTACAAGGTTTTGGGTGGATAAATGATCGGTAGAAACGTCGAGAATTTTGGCTATATCCGTAAAATAATCGGACGTTATCCGAGAAGTTGGATCGGTTTTCAATAAATCAATCATTCGAATTGCAAATTGTTGGGGAAAAAATGGAATTCAATATCGGTGGGAAGGAGAGTATTAGATGAATTAATTAATATTTCAGCCCTACTCGAAGAATATATAATATGAGCCAGTTAGCTAAGAGAATATATAATTTACATTCTGTATATTGTTTTAATGTACTTTGTGCCGATTTCAGATATTAAAATAATTTATTATATTTTTAATTTTGAGTTTAAATTTTTCAGAAAAATTGTGCTGAATTCCCGACAGATTCATAACTCAAAAATCGGCCTTAATTGCGTGGGGCTGTCCACGAAACACGAATCCATAAAAGAAAAATAGAAAAAAAATGCGTCAGAAATTTCTGAGAAAAATTTCCAGTCTCCAAAATGCCGTTAGACAAAAACAAATCCGAATTTTTCAAACACAATTAAGATGCCTGAATGAAGTGACTAAGTCCCCGAGGAAAATCATCAATTTGCAAGGCTCTGAGCCCTAGACTAGAGAAATTCGTAATTTACAGGCAACTCCGTGGAATTCATTGAAACTCGTTCGACGTCTCTCCGTTAGCGTGGAATCGTCGTGAAACTTCCACGAAAGCCAGTTTTCGTACCAGTCGGTATCAGAGGCCCATTAGGACAAACTGGAGGGATGTATTTAAACCTCTTCAGCCCATCCCGATAAAAAAAAAAAGAAAGACCGAACGTGATCCCATGAAAATGGAGCAGTGAGAAGAAAGTCACATTTCTCCCTTGAAGTTACACTCGCGTCAAAGTACAGCGCACGCCTCGTTATTCCCGGTGTACGCAGAAATTTTCGTAATAAAAAAAAATGTCGAGAACAACAACAAGAGGGGGTGGGAGATAAAAAAAAAGGGGGAAAATGCTGAAGAACTGAACTGCCGCGAAGGGAAGGAGTGACGAGACTGCATGAGACAAAAAAAAACCTCGAGAGAGTCAGAAAAAATCCAGACAGAGAGTGTGAGAGTGAGAGATGACAGGGAATGGAGGAGGCGAAGAAATGAAAGCCAAACATGAAATGAAATGCACGGAATAAATTTTAGGTGCTTCGGGGGATTGTATATCCTCCGAGTTTATGTATTCAAGTGTTTAGTTCAATTCGATTTTCAAATATTCAGTCACTAAATCTTTCAATTCATTGAAAAAATCTCACTCTCAGTGTAAATTCATTTCGAGAATAATCAACTTCTTCTTTCTAGCATTAATGAGCATTCATAAAAAAATTCAATTCCACTTGAAATTTTCGAAAAAATTCCGAGTAAAATTTTTCCTCTATCAGGAATTTTTTTTCTCGTAATTATTTAATCACAGATGAGCGTAAAACAAATGTTTTACCAATCAATTTTTCAATTAATTGTCAGAACCCGCAATCGAAATATTTATCAATTTCAATTGGAAAAATTGTTCTTTCATAAAAAAATCGGAAATCGTAAAATATTAACACGAAGTTGAATAAAAAATGTTCTCCAATAAAAAAACCTGTTCTCTATGTTTATAAAGTGAAATTCACTCCACATTATTCAAAAACCCCCGACAACTCGTAATTCCGAAATAGCTCGGGTAATAACGCCCTCAAAGCCAAGTGTCTTCTCCCTTGGCAAGAGGAAACAATTTTCCCCCGACTATGTAATTAAATTAAAGTCTAGATATTCTAATTGCAGCCATATCTGTTCGACGATGGTGTCGTAAAAAGCGAGGGTGTGCGCGCCAAATGAATCACAGCTGAATTTTACGAATATGAAAATGCCCGAGTTTGAGTTTGTCTATAAAATGTTTATACTTCGGAGTATCTTCCAAGTAAATTGAAGTTGAGGGGTATAAAATATGGTGTAAATACAAGTGGACGGTCCAAACTAACGAAGAGCCTTTACATTTAAAAATCCTCGTAAACACCCGCTCAAAGTGTCAAGTTCCGGCTCAAAGTGATAAACAGTAAATTAAAAAATTATACACGAGTTACAGTCGAGTTACATAAAGTCATGGATGATGAGGTGCCGATGAACTTGTGGAATTAATGAGTTCTATAGACGCAAAAGGTCGTTACCTCAGTTCAACCTGTGCCTAGTACTCGTTTATAAAATTACCTCGGCCAATGCATTGCATTGGCCTAGGTAGCTATTTGGTACAATTTTTCAAACGACCGTCAGACTAAAATAATCCGTAAACACACCAGTACTTGTACCTACACGCAGCTTCATTAAGTATTGAGGATACTCAAGTAGGACAGTTTAATGGAAAACGAATAATCGCAGGTTTCCTCATTTTTTTTTAATTGAACGTCAATTGACTAACGGAAGGGTTCATTAAGATGAGCACATTTTTTTACGTATGTTATTTTTTCCTGGCAACTCGTAATTGAAGAAAGATAGCGGTATTTTGGCACGTACATTTTTTAAAGAATTATGAAAACTTCAAAGAAAGATATTCAGGAAGTTATTAATATCTTCTCTCAGCGTCATAATTTGAAAATAATGTAATTTTGATTTCATTTGATAAAATTCCCGGAATTTAAAATACATATTATTGGAGAAATCCAAAGAAAAACATTAGTTCTAATGATTTTTCAACTCGAATTTTCACGTAAACAACCGATTCCAATATCACTAGACTCAATTCTTCGTTTGTCCATGTTTCAACAACTGGTCATTCTCATCGTTAAATACACAAGCCCTATTTATTCAAGTCTGACAGTTCACCCCCCAAAAAAAAAAAATACCTCCGTAAATAAATTCCCCCTCCCCGACCAAAATCACGAAAACCATATTTTCCCCACGACCCTGCAATCCCAAAAATCCGAAAAAAAAATCGAAAAAATCGGCTCCACAATCAACACGCAATGATTTTCCCACGGAAAATCCGTCCAAACAAAAACTTCTTCCCACATTAATTGCCCGAAAATGGCCTTGGCCCTCACAATCTTCAATCCGCAAAATAAAATCCAAAAGACTAACCTTAAAATCCTCAAGACGAACAGCTGATCTCTGCAATCACCAAAAGATCGGAATTCTGAGAATCTCGACACCTCAAAACACTCACGTTTTCCCACTGGTGGCGCACTTTGTCCCAAAAACGTAAACAAAACACAGGACAACGAAAATCACGCACAATTGAGTCGTTGAATGATTAAAATCGAACTATTGGATCAATCGACAGTGACAGTTGACACGATTTAATATAAAAAAAACACTCACAACACAACAATGTTGTCACACCGAGAGACCGGCTTCCACTGGCGTTCGCTGTCAACGGCACGCGGACTTGAAAATTACCCCAGGACTTCTCTTACCCCACCACCACCACCCACTGAACGATAGTCCAATCCCGAGTCCCTCTGCACACCGAGTCGCTCCCACTCCTCAACCGAGGGCGCCCGAGACTCAACGGATATCACCGATTAAAACCGGCGCATGTGCAACGAAAGACACTAAATAACGTCCCGCGGTACCTCACTCTTTTCCAATGTCTGAACTTTTTCAACATTTCCATTTTTCCCTCACTTCTGAAAATTATCTTTAAGGGTTACATTCCGAGGGGACGTTTGCAGAGACTGTTTGAGGTGAACCCCGGGAATTTGATGATTGTAGGTTAAAGGTTGTGGATTATTCTTGAACGTTCCAATACTCGGCTTGAGTGTTCAGCCACTGGGACCGTTAAATTATACCATCGCAGACGTCAGTTTTCTCACGTTTCCTTTCTCTCTCGTCTTTATCGAGACGGCGCTCACTCGCCGATTTTAGGTTTTCATTTTTTTTAGTCCCGGGTCGGCGCTCACCTGCACTGGAAATTGACGATATGTGATTGCGATAAATGGTTATGTTAGAGGAACCTGTTAGGTGCTGGGGAGAAAGGGGGAACGAATGAGTTTTTTTTATCGAATTTTTGGTTAACTGCCGGTTGATTGCGTGTTTATTTGAGTAGTTGTGGATGATAAGGGCTTCAGATCCTGGAGAAATGGAACAAAGTATTTTTTTTTTACCACAGCTCCAGGGGTCTCATTAAAAATTTTCGGGAAAGGGAAGTGATTTTTCCTGAAATTGAATTTGTTTAGACATCTACGATTGATTCCACAGATATTCGCCCCGTAGATAATATCAACGGCTTCATACCACGAGAAATACGAAGATAAGTGTCTGATTAATAAATTTTGGGGGAGGAAAGTTTTTTTTTTTCAATTGAATTTTTACAGCGACCAATAACTGATTCCAAATATATTCGCCTTATAGATTATAAAATAGACTTTGAACTCCATAAAAATATCCAAATAACAAAAATTTTGGGAAAAAAAATCACATTCTTCCGCTAAAAATCTGATCCCTCGGGGCACAGCAAAACAAAAAACTTCTATTCCCGTACTCTCTCCAGGCCTGGCGATTTTATTATCATCACATCATCATATTAAAAGCCATACTTTAGGAAATCAATCTAATCTAATCTAATCTAATCTATCATTTATATTAATCTATATTAAAAAATTTTTTCGAAAAACACGAAGAAATAAAAAAAAAATTTCTTTCAAAATCACAGCAGAATTAAAATAACTCTTCCCTTTCCCTCCCATAACTTCCCCTCTATTCATTCCTCCTCATTTTTTCGATATAACGAATTACATAAAATTGCCATTATAATATATAAAGATATACACATGTGTATTTCCATGTATGCAGGGGTATAATCTCGGTACAATGCCTCGAGCCTTTTTACGAGCGACTCTTCCCTCTTAATCGCGGAATGAAGAGAAAAATGAGAAAAACCAGGAGATTGTGGTGTCCACCAGGATTAAGATCGTAACATCACGTTCGCTACTTGACGCCATTCCCCTTCTCTCTGAATCAGGAGATACGAGAGGGTTTCGCACACCTTTCAACCCTCGGATGGTGTACATTTCTTCCCTCTCCTCATTCCCGGATAATCCCCCGCCAATATTCATTACCCTCCCCTTTCCCGAGTTTTTACCCTCTGAAAACCATTTTGCAACGATTTTCATTATTAAAACCCCTCCATCACTCTAGAAATTAATTTTGCAAATGATAAATCGAGAATTCGTCATCATTCATAAAAATTTACTCCGGTATTCAGTAATTTTAACGTGATCACCCCTCAGGAATTTTCACCAGAAAATTTCAGGGAAAATTACGATCATAATATAATACTGTATTATATAAAATAATTAATATTTATATAATATTCATCAATAATTGCTCATTGATATAAAATACTCACTCAGATTCGATGATAAATAAGGATCCTCCAGAATTCCACCAAACGATTATTACGTGTCAGAGTAAATTTCAGTGGAAATTTCTCTGCACCTGTAACAGATCTACATTTATTTTTTTTTAAACAATTATAAACATTTGCATAAATTTGATGTGCACATTACCCTCGCACCCCGCAAGTATTTCCCCAATTTTTAAAAAGTCCTGAGACTAAGAGTTCGATCAAATACTTTAGTGAGAAGCAATTTTTTTTCAGAATGTTCGGTTAGACCGTCATTAACTAGTGCATCGCTGGATATAGCTGGACGCCTCCGGATAGCATCTCCTGGCATTATCCCGATAATTTACGATAACGCATCCACATTCGCGCTACCAACAGGAGTCATAAGGGGAATATGGAAAAATGTGGAGGTGAGATTTTGCTGTTGAGGCGGAATTGTTACACGCCGTCTTGGCTCAGGAAACTCGGGCTAAAAATGAGAATGAAAGAGGTCAAAGGGTAATATGAGAAAACAAGTTAGCAATAATAGATATTACCCCTGAAAGCGTACACGATCTCATATCCCACGGCAAATATCTTGCAATGTATCTCTACGTACATATAAACGCGTGAATCCGATATTCAGGGCGCACGTATGCAATATTCACTTGGGAAATCAACGCTGACACTGACCACTTGACAAATGCCAGAGAGTTTAACTTCTATCCCTTAATTGTCTCGTTCTCCACTGGTTCTAATGAAAAATCTGGAATTCTCACCCTGTGGATTGGCTCAAGCAGTCAATCGTCCAGAAGATCTCTTGGGGCTTGAGAATCGCACCAGCTGAGTAATTGAGAATGAAACATTCATGTTGCACGTCTGCTGCAAATCTTTCTTGTAATTTGTTTAAATTTTAATGAGCAACGGGAGCAACAGTTGATTTCTTATTGCATGAGTGATTACGGGGCTTTTTAAGCATCAATCACTTTGGTGGCAGGCTTTAACTGTCTCCAGTAATTTACGGGGCTGTGAGTCAGCGTGTGGGTATGGGTGCTGGGGAATTTGTGGCCAACTCTGGGGAATAATTCATCAGTACTCCGAGAAGATACTTCTGAGGTACTTGAGGCCTCCTTTTTTCGTACTTCATCGCGAAATGGAATATACATGGGGAAAAATACTGGAATTACCCAATAATTTCCATAATTCGTCAATAGAAAGGGAAAAAACCTCGTCATTTAAAGAATTATTGGCGAAATTTTCTCATTTCTTCAGTTTTTTTTATAAACTTCTGGGAAACTGTCGACTAAATTGACATAAAAAAATATATCGTTCTCGAGTTTTATTATTATTCAATGGCTCACAGATCTCAGTCACCGTGGAAGAATTTTCCTACGTTCAGATTCCCAAAATTTTACAAAAAGTTTAGAAAACCAGATGCATGACTATGAAAATTTGGGAACCATTGCATAATGATAAAACCTAAAAATGGTATATTTTTTCACGTCAATCGGACCCAGCGTTTCCCAGAAATTGACAAAATCACATGAAAAATGAGGAGATATCGGTAATAATTCCTTAATTCTCAGGTAGTGTCGGTTTCTCAGCAAAAACTCGCGAAAGTTTAAGAATTTTGTGAATCCGGTGAGTTATTTCTACTCTTTATTCCCGAAAATGGAACGAATTCCCTGGTTTTTGGGGAAGACTTCCCGAAATTATCGACTTAAAAATGTAAAATTAAAAAAACACATAAAAATTATTTTTTACTTGCTATTAATTTTGATGGGTTCATTGAATCCGAAATTATACTTCCACTCATTCTATAATTATCGAATTCTATAAAACTTTTATGATCTGTCATAAAAAATTTAAACAGTAAGTTTAATTGAGTTGTTGATTAAATACTGAATATTTAATATCAAACCATTTCAAATTTCCTAATTTCGCACATTTTCCATTAATGCATTCATTGCAATTAACGAAAAATTGTGATAAATTGTTTAATACGAGTAATCAATAGCGGTGTTTATAATTGTATATTGTTCTCGATAAGTTCGCAATTATGGGAAATATATTGATATAATTCTGCATAGACAGTCACGCTCGAAATCAAATACACTGAGTTTCTCATTTCCATCAATTCCTCTCTGTATTTACTAATTCATTTCCATAGCCCAAAATTATTTGAGGAACACTCACAAAAACCACTGTTTCAATAAATTAATCATTATCGTAAATCCACGCACAGCACATTTCTGGTTGTCATGAAATGAATATTAATTGATATCCGTTAATTGATCAAATATTTGAAGCATATTGTTGCAGGACAATTTGGAATATTGAGTGTACAGAACGACACGAAATTGAACCGACACATCGTAAACGATTCAGTCCCTCTCTATCGAACAATTCAACATATTATACAAAATGCCGAATGTCAATAAACTAAAAATTCTAAAGAATTCGAATTTTACCCCCGAAAAATTCCAATTAATTTGAACTACTTTAGAAAATCAACAATTCACTTGGAATATATTTTAGAATTTCTTCTCTTATCAATCCATCGTAATTTCCCACGAAATATTCACAAATGTTTTATGAAAAAATCCCTTGCCCTGGAAATAGCAGAACCCTCGGAAAAAAAAATCGGTAGCAAGTCGAAGAGTAATATTTATTTTTATTGAATATTTCTCTCCGTGAATAATGAGGATTATTTTTCTCAAATAATGAAGAAAATATGGTAAAAAATCGATAATTCATGGAGTCGATGAAAAGAGTGGCTGATACTTTAGTTATTAAGAGGCAGTACCTCATTACCACTGAATCCTTAATATTGCACCAAACGAATATCGAATGGTAGAGACACGATGTAAAGGGAGCCAATTACGCACGTTCGCTATTAACGCTGATTATTATTCGGAATTCGCTTTTCTGTCGAGAGGTCTCGAGTTGCAAAGAGGCTCTCACAATGTACATCGAACTAAAAGACAGGGTGAAGGGATAGGTGAGAGACTCGGTGCACCATTGGAAAATTCACTTGAAATGCATGACGAGAAGCGTCCGAACGGCATTGAAAATGCTACAGAGAAAACGTGGCATTTACCACAGGGATGCGAAATAAGTGTTATACATGTACCTCGGGATTTTCACCAAAAGCCGGGAAATCTCGTGTGCACTTTGCCAGAGTGTATCGACAGACGTGTTCACGTGGAAATAGGAGGGGAAATCTAATATGAAATTCGCAAGTTATCGGGTGGGAGAATCGACACGTATGGCCACTTTCAATTCAATGGAATTAGCATTGCTGAGGGACCCAGTCGTTCCATATGGTTCATTCCTCCATTTCGTCATCCACCTGAAATCCAAGGGAAATTCAACTATTTACGTGATTGAATTATTTCACTGGAGAGGAACATCAAGGGGAGAATGTCCTTCAATGACTCCACATTCAGAAGAAAGATATTTAATTATTCCGTTGGTTCACTGACTTTATTAGAGAGGAATAGCGAAGAGAAAACGTTCTTCAATGACTCCCGATCCAGAAAAAAATATACATTTTGGGTTTTCGGTGCTTAATTATTCTGTTGATTGAATTAGTTTTTCACTGGAGAGGAATGTCAGTGAGAAAATGTCTTTCAGTGACTCCGCACAGATAAAAAATTAGAAAATTTCTTAATATTGTCTAATTAACCAAAAAAAATTGAAAAAGCAATTCAAAATTTCTGATCACCTAATTTTGTTGTATCTACTTCATCTCTTGTTTTGTTCTCAAAATCTCGAAATCTTTATCAAACACTATGAAAATCCAATTTTCCCAATAAACAAACCACTATTCACTAAAAATTAATCAAGAACCACATTTTTCTAAAAAAAGTGCAATTAGCCAAAAAAGAATTCAAAAGATAAAATGGAAAAATTCTAATTACCGGATTGCAAAACAATTTCTAGTTTTTATGATTTTTCCTCTTAAAATCTGTTCTAAATACAATCGAACGTTTTGTTCTTCGGTACGTCAACATCACTCGTCGGGTGAAAAAAAAATGGGGGAACATGAGAAGAGACAGCCAATGAGAGCATCGGACTCCTCACAACTGTTTACATTTTGGTCGAGACTTTTGTGGGGCTCAAAGGTTTCGCCGCGAAAAATTAAAAGGGGGGATATCCTTACTGTCTTAGCCTGCGGTCAACCGAAGGTGATACTGCTCCCGTTATTTTATTATCCAATAGTTTTTAGTGTGAATCGCAGAGTCGTCGAGAGAGCACCTCCGTCCTGTGCCCCACGTCAGTTTTTCTGGACTTTTCAATTTTCCTGGAGGAAAATTTAAACATGAGTTACCGATTTTCCCCAGTGTCCCCGGTGCATGACCCCTCAACAGATGACGATCGAGAGTAAGTGGTCTTTATTTCATATGAGGTTATGACATAAAATTGCAATTATTTGTCACTTGGTGATCGATGTTTCCGCTGTTTTTGGTTCTCTTTTAGAAAAAATGAGAAGAGATCGTCGATTAATCGGGACTAGCTTTTTTATTTTCAATGGTTTTTTCATGCAAAAGGTGAATGGGTTATGACTCGAGTTTTCCTCTGGGAGTTGGCGAGAGATATCTGTGGATCTAAGGGAATTAGCGAAATATTTGGCTGAACGTCTTTTGTAGAGTGGATTGAGAGCCAGAAAAATTATCTTTACGGAAATTTCAATGTTTTTGGTGGATTCAGAGATATTCCGTGAAAAATTAATTGATTGATGAGGAGAGACGATTTCAGGGAGTTGAGATTGATTTGATTTATTGAGTGCAATGAGTTTATTTGCTGACATTTGACAGGGCAGGGTCACCAGCCAAGGATTGAGACATTTTTTTAAATTGTAAGTGATGTGTAATAATAATGAAGGAACGATGAAGGGGTTCTGAAAAAATTTGTTTTTCTACATACAGGAAACAGCCAGCTGTTTTTGAAATTGAAATTAATAATTTGAGCTTAAGAAACTATAAGACTCATTTTTGGAGGGATGGGGTTGTATCGAGTTAGGATGGAGATGAATTTTGTGTTATTTATCGTTGAGACCATTTGCTTCTACATAAAAAAATATTGCATCAATTATCGAAGTCATTGAGGAAATTGATTTATTGGATCCTTACAACACATGCTGGAAGTGCCAATAATTGGAATATTGATGATAATGATTGATACGTTTTTTTATTGAAGGTGTGATGGCCACATGATATGGCAGTGCCACACTTGTTCCTACAAGAGTAAACGACGTTTTAACGTTCGTCGTCACGAGGGGCGAATTCACGTCAAAAAAATCAGGCGAAAGTGCTGTGGTGAGTATTTTCTATTAATCAAATTTATTCCTTCAACATCAACGAATAACTGCATCCAGCTCCAATCGTCAGAAGCGAAAAATTAATTCTCTGAAAAAAAGCGAAGATCAGCTGAGGAGATACCGTGATTTAAATATCCTTCCAGTTATCGTATGGCGTACGCCTCGTCTAAAAAACACTCGAGAATCTTTAAAGTACACAATCGATAGAATTTCAAAAACAAATACTTGCACCGCGGGCGGGCCCCATCAGGTTGTAGTAGAGATCGTAGTAAAGATTACAATTGTTTATTCTGACCACTGGTAACAAAGCTCCGAAGAACCCCCCATTACGCTCATTTGCCTGAGAAAATGGTTGGCAAGTCGGAGAATTAATTTCGGAGTTGTTTAAAACCCATCGCAACCGATAATTGTTGGTAATTATCCCTGTGGTGACGATTTCCGTGTGTGGAAGTGCCTGAAATTACGTTTTTTGTTATTCTTATTGCAACAAGTTCTAGTTCATTAGGAGTCCTTAAATGTTAGCAAATAGGAAACAGTTTCTCACTGAATATTCAATGTCCTCGTTTCACTCATTAATTTTTGTCCTGTCTTACACTTAGAAAATTATGGAATATTGATTTTACTCATACGTGATTTCATATTCATTACGATTGGGGAAAGAATATGTTAGAATATTTGAGCACAGATCGATGTGCAAAAATTCCTGGACAAAGATTTATGACAAGCTAGAGAATAAAATCTTAGAAAAAAGACTAATTCATAATCTCAAGAGCTGTTTGATCCTAAACACGTGTTAAAATTCAAACTTATTGTTTCAACTCTAGACTTTCTAACTTGAAATTTTTTCTTTGTGCTAGTAATTAATTTATTCATTTGCCCCTCCATTCCATTAAAACAGGTATCTTATATATTTCATTCACTTTCAATTGAGCTTATCAACAATTTTCTGGATTATTTTTTTACTCCTCCTGAAATATCATAATTTCCCCCAAAGGTCAGAAATTGAAGACAAAATGGGACTGGTACCAGCATTGTGCGTCCCTTCACCCAGGGAAACGTCCAGCCTCTGTCGTGAGCTCAAACAGGAGAATTCAGGACATGAGTATGTCCTCTGCAATGCACACTCTACAGTTCCATGGAAACAGCTCGGACACATCTGACTCGACATTGACGTGTCCGTCGCCGACTGAGCGCAGGTATTCAGCGAGGATTCGTCAGCAGGTGTTAAAGAGAATAGAGACTCCTCAGTTATTTGAGTCCTCAGACGATGAGGGCTCTCACTCCCGGAGAGAGTCAACAGCCATAGAGAACTCCAGGAATTCCCAGGAAGACTCAATGATGACAAGGAATCCAGATCCTTTCCCTGATATAAACTGTGAATTTCCCCAGAATTTTGGGGATCACCTCAGGGAAAACGAGAGCTCCTGCCTTGAGTATCAGCTGGTCCTGTCAGATCATCTTGGTCTGAATGCATTCATCGAGGAAGTTCCCCTGAATCCCCACGACGAGCCCCACTCAGATTTTCTCCAGGGCCTGGAGAACCCTGATATCTCTGGAGATCTTCCATTCAACCAGGAAATCGACTGCGAGGCAGAGACTCAGCCCCAGGAGCTTCAGAGTGATCAGGTAGCTCTTGTTCTCGAGCAAATCACCCAGGATAATATCTGCAACACCAATTATGTCTCCAGTCTCTCCCAGGCCCTGTGGGAAAAACCTCGGGATCAGATTCTCCAGGTGGATTTGGAGAATCAGCTGCCACCGAAGAAGAAAATCCTCAGGAAGTTCCTGGGGTGCAATGAAACTGGTGACAAGGAGAATGCACCCCCTGGGGAATCGTGGTTCAAGGTAGAGCCCCTGCCCTGGAATGAAATCACTGAGATGCAGAGGAATTTTCTCAGCTCTTTCGACTTCGAGCGGTACAAGCTGCTGTGAGAGGATTTATTTGTTTTGAATTATTTTCGTTCAAATATTGACCTCGTACCATGAAGAATCTGCATGTTTTTTAAATTAGAAAGGAGATTTTCAGACTATAATTAATGAGATGTATGTATATGAAACAGTACAAATGTTTTTTTTTTTCGTTTTTTCTTTGGTTTTTGAGAGGAGTCTGAGGTATCATTTGGATACGGCTGCTAATAGCTGATTTTTTATATGATAAGGATATTGGATAGATAATTATTCTTTAATCTTTTTACATTTAGTTTTATTCTGAAGACATGGGAGGGTCGTGTGGTCTTATGGGGATATTTAATGTTTAGAGAAGTCAGGTTTTGCATGAAGATTCCGTAACAATTGGGAGCTTTAATTTCTCAATTAGTACTTCATCAGAGAAGTGGTGAAGGCATATAATAATTGCTCAGTTTTCTTAAATATCGATATATTTTAAAAACCATAGATTCATGTAAGAGTGTTCACGAAGGAATAAATCGATAATTAAGAAAAATTGTTTGATTCGTCTTGTCTTCATTGGGAATTTTCGAAGTGATTGAAGGAGAGATTGAACTGAATTTCAGAAATTAAAAATTTCTTATTCATTATTTCGCGTGATAAAAATATGACAGTTCAGGAATATCTAACCGTTATTTAAACTTCTCATATCATCAAATCTTTAGCCTCTTTCCATTTTCGTTTCAGTATTGTAATAATCATGTTAACAATATTTATACCCAAAATGTATACATCCAGAGAGATCATTACTGCGACAATGTCAGTAAAATTGTCACATTGAATGCGTTAATATCCGTGCATTAACATGGGAATAACGTGGGTCTCCTGAATGAGTTATTAATTATGTCAACACCCTCTAGCCTTCGAAGACAATGCACCATAATCGCCGCACTGCGGTATTGCGTTATATCGAGGGATATTAATGTACCTGGTGTTACAACAATTCCAGAGCATTCCAATTAAAAATCTAATGGAATTTCCGATGAGTTTTTCTCCCGATAATTGCAAATCATCATTTTTAGAGGGTAAATTTTTTGATAGTCCATGTAAAGCAATAATAAACGACTATAATTTCTCAATCAGTGTGTTGTAATTCATTTTGTCCAGTCATCAAGAAACTGATAATAAAAGTGTACTTTTCAGAAATCTCAAAACCCTTGATGTATTCATGATGTTTTATTCTGCACTTTAAAAAGTTTCAGGAATTTTCACTTGTCGGAGCAGTACTCCAGTAATTATTACGAAAATTTTTCGAAAGTAAAATTGAAGAGAGAAATCTGATGAGACTAAGGGATTGATTTTTTTAACGGAAAGTGTTGTTTATTTTTATAAATAAATAGTTTGGATTATTGGGGATATTCTACTCCCTTTCGACTAAAATTCACATTTTTTTTCATTTTTTTACAGACTTACAATGAGGTTGACGTAAAAAAGTATAACGTTTTTGCATTTTGCCATTATTTAATTATTCACAAGTTTTTAAGTTCGTGTGAACCATTCCCTGCGTTTTTTGTGAATTCGAAATAAAAAAATCACAAAACCGTAGAAAAAATGCATAAAAATGATTGCAGCACCTCGAAACTCCGTGAGCCATTGAATAATGACAAAAAGCGAAAACGTTATATTTTCGCACGTCAATCCGACCGATAGTCTACCATAAAAAGTAAAAAAAAAAAACGTGAATTCTGACTAAAACTGTTGAAAAATCCTGTTGTTGAAAATTCTTGAACACATTAAATTTAGCCATTTTCCCGACTCTTCCCGTCAGATGACCGAAAGTTTGGCACAATAGATTTGATACGTAATCCTTTTTCAGAGTGTAAATAAACCGGACACATCTTGTTTGAGATGCACCCTGTAAGCACGAGACTCTCACGCATTCAAGGTAGTATCAGACTAGATACTCCAGCCACTGTATCTTCTCTGCATTGAACAATGCAACGTGGATTCACCCACCATTCAGCATTGTTCCTACCCCTGTGTTCTCATCATTGTTTCACCCTCTCGAGCGCATCAACGCTCAAAGGCTCTTTCCATATCCTCTCACCACGTCATTTCCAATTACTACGGTGTGCTGAGTAAATTTTAACGCTACTGTATATTTATGGCACTATTTCAGTCCAGAGTATCTCGCGGGGGGAATTTTTTTTATTAACAAATGGCTGTCGTTAAAAAATCATGGACCGGTGCAACTGTGTACGCCTGTGGAATACCACCACATTTTGTGGTATTTGCACTGTTTTAATTACATGGCGTGGATATTATTCCTTCGAATTCAAAGGAATTATTTTCTGGCGGGAATTGTAATTTTTTTATCATTATAATTATAGGGGTGTGGGTGGGGTGGTATTAACGAATCTAGTAATTAGAAGGGAAACTTTTTCTCTTTATTTGCGTTTTTGAAAAAAAAACGGCAATTTCATGAAGAAATTTAGGCAATAGAAGAGAAAAATTGCATTAAATCTGCACCAAAATGGAGCAAAATTTGACTGACGGTTAATATTTTCAAAATATGAAATGTTAGAAATTCGGGAAAGTTTGGAAATTTTCAATGTAAATAATGCATCAATCCCTGAAACAGTACTTTAATGACTGTTCACCACGAACACTAGAGCATCCCCTAGCACTGGGTGGTTGTTAGTGCGCAAAGGACCCCCCAACATTCTCCGGAAACTAACTCCATTTGCCCTCTCCCCTGTCCGAGCCGTTGATACTACAATGTACCGAATTAGGTCTCTTGTATGTATTAACAATCCCCCAGTGCTCGCACGTACCTCTCACCGTTAATTTATGATTCGATTCTCGATGGCGAAACTCATGTCCATTGATTTTCACCCGTGGAATTTTCGAAATTACGTAAAACACCGTCGCAAATATGAATATTTAACTCCCGAGTGAAATACCCCCACGAGCTATCATTATTCCCCCCACCGGTGATTTACTGATATTAACTGTCAATGATAACGGCTTGGTGCGCCGGAAGTAAAAAGTGCATCAATAATTTCTGAGAGTTTCAATCTGATTGCGGATTCCACCTTTGTCATATTTATCTGAGTCTCGCATGCTGTAAAAAGAAATGCAATAAAGCAATGTCAATTGATCATGTGAATTTACCGATGGGTTGTTGCAGGTCAGATGGAAATTATCTGGTTGGGAATAAAATAGGAGTAATTAGTTGTCGGATTATTTATGGTGATGTTAATTATGCGCCCTTTATGGTCCCTCATGTGCACCAAAAGTGCACACCTGCAAGAAACTATTATTACCTCTTGCGTGTGCACCGCATTTCGTGGATTCTCGGGAGATGCACTTCCATAAATCAGGGGGTAACTAGGTGTACGAGCTTTTCTGGGCGGTAAGTGGAAAATGTGATGATAAGTGGACGTAATGGAGAAAATCATGGTGCCCAGGTGATGGTTTTGCTGGAAATATCTCGACAAAACACACTTACATTTCTCTTTATTTTTTCACTTCAGTCTGTCACCTCTACACTTTAACATTTTTCATTTTTCGGTTCACCTGAAATTTCGGAATTTTTTCAATTATTTATTACATACTATATTCATTGCAATGTTTTGTTTAGAAAATAATCTGGGAAAGGGGAGACAAGACGTGACATAAGGTGAAATAATTATAAAATTTTATTAGCAAAATTATTGGGAATAATAAAAATTGGGTGAAGAAGTCGATTCAAAATTTATGATTGTATTTATCCGCAGAGGTGGCACATGGCGGATTTTTTGAATATGTTTTTTTGGTTTTATACAGTTCCAATCAATCGAGTGAAGTCGATAACGCGAATGATTGACAGTTTTTTAATGGCATAGTTGATTTTTCCTTCAGATCTTGGCATGATCTACCCTACTGTAAAAAAAATTAAAAAGAATTTTTGGAAAAAATCACCATCTGGTGATTCACTTGAATTTTCATTTAATTTTATTTCACATTCTCTATTGATTTAAATTACGATCACAATTTAAATTTTTAATTTTGTTGTGATTTGTTGAGTTCAAATATGATTAACATAAATTGCTTAGGATTAATTAAAGGAAAATCTTTGTTTGAAGAGCTGAAGTTTGAAGAGCTTAAAGTCGAAACGAGTTGATTACGTAAATTGCGATTTCAAACGTGACCTACAATTCGAAAAACGTAAATACAAAATCATACAGTACATTATCAAATTCATAATTTAGAATAAAAACTCATAATCTATTCGATATGAAATATCATAAATTGCGTTGTAACGAATACTTTTAAATGCGCATAGTTTAATGTATTGGTTCTCGTGAATCCTATTAGATATTCCGATATTTTGAAAACTCCCTCGAGGGGAAATGAAAGAGAATGATAAACACAATTCACCATAGGAATCCTGATAATGGATATTAGGTTCTGTGTCTTGGGTGGTGGAAGAAGATGATATCATCTGGAGGAAAGCTCAAGGGCAAGAGCTTGCGACACCGGACAGTCCGACGCCACCGGGTATTGGCGAATATTTCTTTGAACGCATGCGCCCGCACCCTCGACCCGCAATTTTGGAAACTTATCAACAAAAGTTCCACACCAACAACGAGGACAGAATTGAAGAATTCCTCTCGACAAGTAGACGAGGTGCATTTTTTCCTTCGATTAAAGCCGAAATTTCTGGGGTATGTCTGACCATCGCGCGGTTGAACCACTGGGTCCAGGGATCAACTGTCAAAGTGCCTGTGACATCGTGACAAAAGAGAGGTGAGATCGTGTTTTGGGAATACTCTGGCCTCTTTGAGACGTTTTTTCAAAATTTTTCAAAATTTTTCACCATTTTTCACCATTTTTTGAGATTTATATCGCGAGAAAATTTACATTTTCAGAAATGTACACTGAGAAAAAAATAGTGAATCAAAGAAATGTTTTGAGACTAACAAATTAAATGAATCAATAGTCACAAAGACATATGCGATTGCGACTGCTAAATATTGAGTTGAATAAATTTATTTGAAACAACTAATTGAAATTTTGAAGTTCAATTGTAACTTTACTTGTTTGTAGGAATTCAAATTTGAAATAAGTTTTCGATGAAATATGCCTGAGGATGCACTCAATTTAGAAATATATTTTTTACCCTCAACTAATAATTTTTTGTATATATTAAGATACAAAAATATTTTTTAACTTCTCAATAATCACAAAAAATCAATATAATAGGATTAAATAATTCTATTTACGTCATCAAGGTTATATTTATTTGTTTTTACTATATATTTTTGAAGAAACTTAAAATTGTCGCGAATCTATCAAATGATTAGATTAATCAAATAGTTAGTTACTTGAAAAATTTTTTGGATTGTTGTAAATTTAATAATGAATTTTAGTATTTTCAGTACAGAAAAAAAAGTAGAGACATCTGGAAGAATCAGAAATTAAAAGTATCATTAATTATTATTATTGTTATATATAATACATGGTTTTTACTGGAGAATATTCAGTAGAAATTACCGACCGATTCAATGGAATTTGTCTTCCAGCAATTTTTCTAGGAATCGAAGCGACGAAATCGATTGATTTTTTGGTAAGAAGTCAAGTCTTACCGAAAATTCTAAACTCATTATGCCTCAGAAAACAAAAATTTGCAATAACAAAAAGCACAGGGAGTTATTAGCACGAACAGAAAATTAGATAGTTTGGAAAAAATCGTGGAAAAATGTGAAAATTGGCTGAAAGCTACAGGACATCCTTAATTCCCCCATTTTTTCTCGTTAATGATGATGAGATTTCTTCAGCATTGGTCTGCAACTGTTCGAGGTACTTCTAGATAAAACTCAGCACGTTTATTACACCGGTCAGATTGTCTCTGGAAAAGTTAAACTGCAACTCGACTCACCGATTAGTGGAATGGGTAAGTTTTTAGAATTCATTGCTAACAATTTTTTCGTAAAATTCCCCTTCAAATTTGTCCCTTTCTACTTTGAGTTTTCAACTCAATTTATGATTTCATTAAATGATCCACTTCAACAAAAAATGGAAAAAAAATTCGCTGTTTGTGTGTTTCTACTTCAAATATGGATGACTAATTAATTGATGACTTGTAGATTTGTTTAGAGGGAAAGGATGAAAAATATTTCAAATCAACTGTTTGTTTAATTGTTATTGATGGAAAATTTGGTATTGAATTTCCGATTAATGAGAACTCCACTGCGTTATCCAATAAAAACTCCCCATTTTCAGTGGTAAAATTGGAGTGCAGGGGTGAAGGACAGGTCTATTTCACAAACCGATCAACTGGTTTCCGGAGAAAAGTTTCTGCCCAAGAAACCTACCTCCACGATGTGATTTATTTAACCAGAAGTAAGTCCCTTGCATTATAAAACTCTTCAAAAAGATGTTGGTTTCCACGCAATAAAAACTACTGAATCATTTCAGGTGACTCCAGTGATGCAGAAATCAGGAGTGATGGATTTTCATTCAGCTTCAATCTGCCAGAAAAGCTACCATGCAGTTTCGAGGGTCGATACGGACGAGTGAGATACTCTATCAAGTCAACACTGGAATTTACTCGAAACTCAGGAATATCCTCCGAGCCTTTGGCATTCACCATCGCACCTGTTTTAGATTTGAATCAGCACTCATTGGCACCAGTAATCTTTTTAATTTTCCTTCAATTCTCCATTTTTTCATTCGAATTTCCCCAACACTTGTGCCTGAAACTTTTTTTTTTATCTCAAGAAAAATGTACTTTTTTAATTTACTTTTCAATTAGATTCTGCAGTTACTAAATATTAATTTATTTCGAAAACTATTGATTTTAAGAAGAAATATCATAAGACATTTTCTGTTTGAAATTTAATAAGCTTCATTAAATTCTATTAGTATTTTTACCTCAAATCGATAGTTTTCAAGATAGATCGATAATTAAGAAGAAATAATTTGGAGAAATGAACAATTCGAAATATGTCACTCTATCAAATCACGCTTGTGTTCGAAAAATTAATTTTAATTGCGTGTTTGCAGTTACCTTTGAGCGAGAGTAACACGAAAACATTCACTGGTCACCTGAAGCCTTTGAGCATGTCAGTCTTCATCCCTGTTCGTGGTTTCGTCCCTGGCCAAACAATTCCGCTGAAAATTAATCTAAAAAATGAGTCAAACGTCGACGTGAAAAAGCTTCGAATTTTATTCAAAAAGGTAATATACCCACACTCTCAAAAACGATTCCAAAAACGATCGATACAGATCAAATAAACAAGCCCGATTCTTCAATTAAAAAAATTGCAATTAAACCTTTATTTAATGAAATTTCTTTATCTAACCAAATCATTTTAATTCCAGTAATGAACAAACTTTTTCATCGGTGCTAATTACATCTTTGAGATAATATTGAAAAAAGCACAAGTAAACATTTGATTGGAATTTTAACGCTCCATCCCCTAAACAAATATGCGTTATCGAATAAACAAAGACAAATTGATCTATACAACCTATTAAAATTCAGCAGAAAATCCCCGCCTGAATAATTCCCCCGAAAACAATGAATTGTTGATCCCGTTTTATTTTTCCATTTGTCATGGTTTCATTAGGTGGTGGTATATCGTTCAGCGGATAATATTCGCAAACACAAAGAGATTGTTGTAGAGATTCACCAGCCAGTGCAACGTAATTGCGAGGTTTATGACTGTGAATTCGACGTGCCAGCAATTCCACCGTCAGGGCGAGTGTGCGATCTCATTGACGTTTGTTATACCCTCAAAGTCGAGGCGTGTGTGGACATCAACGAGTGGTACTACCGGATGTTTCATAAAAATCTCAAGATAAGGATGGCCATTGTCGTCGGAACGTGCCCTCTGAGGAACTACGAAGACCCCATAGACTCTAGCGATGACCCCCAGAGTATTTCAAAAAAGGATAAGTCCGTTCAGTGGGCTGAGACTGTCTCCAAAGACAATGAATCAAGTACTCCAAATAATTACAGTTAAAAATTACAGAATTCTCTGAAAAAATCCTCTCAACTACATTTTTCAGTGGAATTCCAATTACTTGATTAATTAATTAAAAACATTTTTTTTTTCTTAGCGAATGGAAAAAAATTGATGACATTATTTTTGGTTTTTATCGGATTAAGGGATGATTGCAATTGTGGAAATTGTTTTCAGAGGGGTGCAAGTATCAGAGCAGCCGTATATATCGATCCTCGAAACCTGAACGAGATGATCCCGTGGGGGAGAATGGAGATGATGCCCATGTGGAAGCGTATGCACCGATGTACCGGGTGTATAAATTTGATGGTGGGATAAGGGGATGATATCGTTACGCGATGACTGTTTGTTGATGCATTGAAATTTCTTTTCGGAGGGCTTTCAGAAGAGTGGCGTTACGCGGACGGAGTAATTTACTCGAAATTTCTAGTTGTGTTAGACACCGGTTCATCTTGAAAATTATTAATGAATTATTGCTGATGGCTTTTCATTTTTCATGTTTTTCTATAAATCCCTCGGAAATCCAGGACCAAATTGATGTGGAAATATTTCATTTATCGGTTTCATCATTATTTTATGATTCACTAATTTTCAGGAAAGTTGTGCGTCTAGCTTTTAAAAATTTTCGTAAAGTTTGTGGAGTTTTGTAAAAGTTTGCTAAGAACACAGGAAAATTCTTTCACACCGATGAAACTTCGTGAGACATTGAATAATAATAAAACTCTAAAACGATGTTTTCACGTCGATTTTATCAAGCGTTTCCCAGAAATTCTTTAAAAAAACTTGGAAAAATGAGAAAATATCGTCGATAATTCCTTAAGGGTGTTCTACACCCATACATAGTCAAAGTTTACGTTTTTCATTTTTCTGGTAAATGTATCATGAGATTGACGTGATAAACTAAAGTTTTTGTGTCATTTTTGTTGTCATTATTTAATAACTGATGAAGTTTCATGGTGGTGTGAACATTTTTGCGCATTTTTTAAAAATTTACTTAGATAATTATAATATAATTATTCAATAAATAATAAAAAATGAATATAATATAATTATAAACCGTAAATATAATATAATCATATTTATTTTTTAGTAAAATAACACAATAAATATAATATAATTAAATAATCAATTATTATTAATTATTATAAATTCAAATAGAATCGCAAAACTGTAGAGGGAATGCTTGAAAACGATCGCACCATCAGTAAACTTCGTGAGCCATTAAATAATGATACAACACAAAAACTTTACATTTTCTTACACGAAATCCATCGATAATTCGCCAAAAAATTAAAAAATGTTAATTTTGGCAATATATAGGTGTGAAACATCTTTAATTGCAAGATAAAGTACCGGATGACGTTTCCCCTCGAAAATCTTATCCACTCGGAAAAAGTTTTCTTACACTTTCACCTCAAATTACGTTTTCGAGGTAAATCGATATTTGAGACCCAGTCTGAGGGATTTTGCTTTGGTTAGAACCTTGTTTCATTTTTAGCTCAGTATTCGATTTTCCCGGCTAATTCCATTTGAAATATCGGATCCGTTGGTGATTTGAATAATTAACAATTTAGCTGTTCAGAATTTAAATGAAATTTGGGATCAAAAAGTTAAATGTATCGTTCACAAAATCCAATTTTCATGAACCTTTGATATTCTGATGATCGCTTACCACAAACCTATCATAAAAATTGAATAGAATAAATTAACGTTGTATTTTTCGCAGATTAAATAATAATGTTTGGATGGTCTTCACCGAGGATAATAATCAGCGCATTCATTAATTTTTCCTTTCTCCTTTTTAGACTTCTTTCCTCTTCATATTTTTCCTGATACTTATTTATTTAAAAAAATGATTTCCAAACTCAATAACAATTAGTATCGGAAACTTCTCTCAGTAAAACTTTTATTACAAGTCCAGAATTCTTCATTTGATTGAAAAATGTCAATAATCGAAGTTTCTTCCCTCTTCATTAATTTCCAGAGTATCTCTCGGCTAGCGATGAATATTCATTCAACAGTTCATTAATAGCCCTTGCAAATTAGCGTTCTAAAAGGAATTTGATTTGTTGACGATAAACAGATTCATTAGACTAGCAATACCGCAAATGATTAATATGCTGTAACATCATATCGGATTTCCCATCATTTTCGTGCTGCATTATCATGAAGAGCGAGTTGTAATATGCATTACCCAATGTTCAAACGATAAATTAAATCCTGTTCTATAAGTGCTTCAATATAACTCGACAAATACCTGGATTCAAGTATTACTTCGCAACCTGTAAAATATAACATCCAGTGAACTGTAAATATACTAAGAGAAATGTTCATGTACCAAATATTCTGGAATTTTCAGTGAAAATCGAACTTTTATTTTCGGTCTAGCTCTATAGCAGCTCGGGAAAAATTACAATTAGAAATTTTTCCGTATTCGGTAGGGAAAATCAGGTCATAATTAAAGTTTTAAAAATAAAGAAGTAATAAATCACTAATTTACTTCATGATTTCGTTCTTCGTTGGCCATTCGATTCACAAGAAAATCTCGTAAAATTGGAAAAGTGGGAAGTCTATAGTTGACTTTTTATGTCAATGAATTATTAGAGAAGTAAAGAGCTCGCTTATAATGGACCCTCCAGATTTAATGACTTTCCGTTTCTCTATATTTGGAGAAGATTTCACATGTCGCTGTCTTCCATATCATTGTGAATCAGCAATAATTTTACTTCCTGCAACGATAACTGCGACGGGATCATATGATACTTCTCCGTTTAGTGAAATAATATTTTTGGATCACTCTAAATAATTGTATTACGATTGAATTACGAACAAGATGCGCTTGAGAGACTGACGCCCGCCAAATCATTTTGGAATTTGAAACCTTAGTAAATTAATTCTAGAAATAGAAATCTATCGATTGGATAGTATACTAATGCGATAATGGAGTCTAAATCGTGAGCATCCAATGCACATTAAAAATATAATTTAATCAATTCACTTACTCCACTATTTTCTTTCCCGAAAATTCTCCTCTGGCTTAATAATCATTCATCATTTATATTGAGATCAATAACTCAATAATGGAACGAAAACGAAAAAACTCTAGAGGACTGCAACAAAAAATAGAATATTCCCTTCTGCTAACAGAACTTAAAAACTTGTACAGCTAACTCAATTCTTCCGCGAGTTTTTTGTAAATATCTCCAGAACCAAGGGATATTTTCAAATTTGTATTAAACCCTTATTTGTGGCGGCGATCAAGGGCTCTAAAAAAGGTCGGAACAAAAATCTTTTTAATTCTCTAAATTTCAGAGATATTTGCAAAATACGACGTGAGGGAGAATGTCAAGAATATAATACTGTTCTTAAGAGTTCAATTGAAGAGATTTTTACGCATGAAGTTTAGTTTAAAAAAAAAATAAAACTCATAAATTTTCAATCCATAACTCAGCAACAATAGAGCAACATACTGTTAATGCAGTGGCCCTGTCCTTCTGGAAAAACGAGTTTTCTCCTGCGAAAATATTTACGTTGTTTCGTGTATAAAGAAGGCCGTTATACGTGTCTAAAATTCCCTAGCACCCTGAAAAACTTTGCTCTTCCCGCGTAGAAAGGGAAAAAAATGTCTACACATGTATGAGAATCGACGTATATACCTGGCAATCCAGATGGGACGGTCTTGAATCGCGAAAACTTGCACAGCGTTGCCAGAGGAAAATAGGGAGGTGAAGTAAAGTTTGTGAAACTGGAAGAGTAACCCTGGAGTATTTCTGTTTATGGTTACAGAGGATGTATTCTTTTTGGCGGGGCACCTGAGCATTGGGGGTACGATATCCCTTTGAATTTCAATATGTACCAGGAAGCTCCTTGGAGAATCGTGGAGAACCACATGCTCTACATGGAAACCCCTGAGACTTCCAGGGTGTGGAAGATTGATATTTCCAAGATAACATCAATATTACACCAGATCAATAATACACCAGATTAATATAGATGGAGGTATCAATATCTCCAATAAATAAATTGTTAAAACTCTTAGCAACTCTCTGTCAAAATTACACTTGACGTTTATTTATATTTTTTACAATTGCAAGAGAATTTTTTCGGATAATTCTTCATCAAGTAGTCAGTTAATTTTAGGAATATTTAAGTATTTCGAACAGGAATTTAATCAGGAATTATATAAATGAAAGAAAATGTAGACAGAAATCGATAATTATTGAACACGAAATAAATAATTTTTTGGATTTTTCAGGAGGAATGAGAAATTGATGGACTTTGGTAATGAATAATAAATGCAAACCCGTGGAATTGAGAATTCCGAAAATTTTAATTCAATATCATTTGGAATACGTTTAATCTTGAATTACGAAATAATTAGCGGAACGCTGCAATCGCGGGTTCTTAATGTCGCGATATTTGAAATTAAATTGTAATTAGAATATTTGGAGGTATGAGAAGTGCAAATAATTATATATCGCTGCTGAGTAAACGGGAAAATACGCGGTATTGTTCACTCCCGACATGCGAGAATTATCATATTATGCTCTGACGATTTTCTAGAAAATCCGGTGCATTTCAATCTCCAGGTAATTATGCCCCGATGTTCGCGTGAAAGGTATTAAACTCATGCAGCTAATCCCTCTGGAAATATGATAATCAATAATTCAATCTTATTTATGACTCTCATATTTGAATAATGAGGGGATTGCTAGCGATGGAGATGAAACCTCCCAGCAATTAATTCTAATTCCAAATTTTCCCCAAAGAACGATTCATAATTCCATAATTATTACTCTCATTTGATTGTTTCTGTTATTAAAAAAAATTAATCAATGTCTAGGAATTGTTTACTAATTTCGAAGAAACAATTCATTATCTGGTTCAATTCAATTTATTTATAAATCAAATTATTAATTTTATTAATACAATTAATCATTTTAATAATTAATGATTAATAATAAAGTAGAAATAGAAGTTTATTTTGAATTTGATAAAAAAACATTGTATTTTATACTTGGAACTTATTTATTTCATTGAAATAAATCATTTTTTTTCGGGAGGATCGCTGGGATTTTTTCTGTTCTGAAAACTTCAATCCCGTAATTCCTCTGGAGTAGCGTATCAGAAAGTTTTTACTCGCATATTCCCTCTCCGAAAAATGAGACGTCCCCAGGAAGTCGCGCTGTCAAACTTGTATCCGAAAGAAGTCTCGAGAAGAATAAACGCTCTCTGAAAAATGCCGTCTTGTCAATTTGAGTTTTTCAAGGAGTCGATCTTTTTCATTTATGGTAATGGAATTCCATTTATTAAATTATTTACCTCTTGCTGTGAGTTTTGCGTCCCAAGGAGGATTACGTCCCTAGTAAATTGAATTACCCAGTCGAAAACAGTTTACCCTGTGCTAGAATGGCCACCGAATATAACAAGCGTATACACTTCACTGGTAATTCTGTTATCAGGGCTCACACCGGTCATTCACTGGGTTAGCCGGAGCTTACACCAAGCCACCGTATTCTGTTGGATTTGATGTTGCCAGGATGACTCCAGTTCATCAAATGTTACTCCACAGTCTTCCTGGCGACTACAGATATCGCCCTCCCTCCTCTGTTGCTATTTTTTCATTAGTCCACTTTAATCTACCAGAGATGAATTTTCTACCACGCGGTGAGAATTTTATTTAGTTAGCGTTGAAAAAATACATTTTTTCCTCTCCATCCGATTTTTGGGGGAGGAAAGTGAATTTTTCCTGAAATTCAATTTTTCAATTTTCTGGCAATCAATTCTTCATTTTGTATTTCGTAATTGTTGTTCGCTCTGTCGATGATAAATAAATATTCAGACCCGGAAAAAATACTGAAACGAATTTTTTGGGAGGGGCAATTATTCAATTCAATTTCATTTCCTTTCTTGTTGTAAATGTCTTCTTTGTTTTATATCAGGACCATCTTTTCCCCCCACATCATGGTTTATAATGACAATAACAATAAAATATATAATATAAATATATCATATAAAACCATAAACCATAAAAAATCATTGAAGAATTTAATATCTCCATAAATGTCAATGCTGACATATATGACCTTGACCTCTTTCCTTGCATATGGAAAGGCAATTAATTTTTCGCCAAAAACTAATTTGTTCATCAACCAATGATAAATTATCCACATATTCCCCTCGAAGACAGTAATAAGTCCTTCAATCCAATTAAAAATAAAACATAATTTTTTTCTTAAATCAAATCGTTCCATCAACCAGCAGTTAATTTCCCATACTTGTAAAAGCAGAATATTTTTCTTCGTTTGTCCAACCGCAAAAAATAATGTAATTCAAAAATCTACACAAATATGGGATTTAGAAATGAATTAAAGTAGATGCATTGCCCCACAAATTTGGAGAATTTTGAAATGGGCCTTTTCTGAAGTGGATAGAATTTGGAGACCTTTGAATCACTGATGGATCCTTTCTATGGTCGGGATGTTCCTCTCGTGATGGTATCCAACATCAATCAAGTATCAGAATAGGAGATATTTGTAGTCTGTTAGTGGCGAACGCACTTGGGTATGAAATGGAGTTGATGCAGGTGGATTTCCATGATTGGGCCTGATAATGCCCCATCGTTAGCGATTCCAAATTGGTCGGGTATATGGAATAGGCTTTGGTCTATGCAATGTGCGTGCATTGCTATCGCCGAGCCGGACGTTACGGTTAACTGTCTACCGCTCCTAAATACTAGCCCTCGAGTACCTCCATCCTCCGACTGTAATCTTCATCAGGAAATACTGTTCAACCACCGGATATACGTGGATAATCGTGTTCCGTCGGCGATCCTTTATTATCTCCCGCTGCCAACGGTACTCCTAGCTTTCCAAATACACCCTTTCAAATTTTTTCCCTCAATCTGGAAATACGTCCCATCTCCATTTTTTCATCCCCTTTCAAATCAACTGAAATGAAATTCACACATCTTGTCATGGAATATTCACAGTTTAGAAATTATTCCTCCCTGTCAGAATTCATTGTCGCAAATCATTTTTATCTCAACTTTTCATCCCAACATTCGGAAATTTATAACTTTTGCGTTCCGAATTCAGTGGGAAAACCAAATGGAACTGGTTATTTTCATTCGGTTTCTCCCTAAAAATTATTAAAAATCAGAATAACTATAAAATAATAATTTATAAAACAGAATAATTATCAAATTTCAGATTTTGTATAAAATTCGATGCAATTTGAATATGAATAAATCAAAAAAGTAATCGATTGAATTTTTCCAAATCTTTAATAAAACCTGAATTTTCTATTTCAATGCAGTACTTATTATAAATAAATACTTTTGTTAACTCCAATAGCAATACTTCAATTACAGAAAAACTATAATAATTTGAAAAAGTATGAATAATGTTTCATTGATAAAATACTCGTAAATCCATAAGTAATAACAACAATAAATAATTAAAATGATAACCTAATGAGAATTTTGTATAATTTATTCATTTTTTTATAAATGGCCTTGAACAGTAAATTAAATAATTTTTATCGATGTACCGACAAATCAATGGTATTTAAAAAAAAAGCGAAAGATGGCGGCATCGGTTTCGTCTTTCTGACCGTCAGTTGGAGGGATTCAAAAATCGGGGGAAACGGTTGTGCGATGTCAACCGACAGTTTTCAACGGCATTTGCCCAGTGAATCCATGAGCTCCTCAGAAAACCCCAGTACTCTCCGAATTCATCAATTTATCTCACCGAAATCATGCTATTAAACAGTAATTCGGTTTCGTAAGAATAGAAAGAAGAATAGTGACAGCATTTTACCAGAGGTTTTACCAGTGGAATCGGTGGAAACCTGTGAAAATACGAAGAATCATCCACGCTTTATCAAGCGTGCTAAGTGACGCTTCAAGTGTTTAGTATATTTGTGAATGGAGTAACTATCAATTGGATTTTATTATTATTTTTTATTGAAAAATTCGTAACCATGACCACGTCACTCTCCATTATGGCAACACACGACGAGCTCGTGAGGTGCACCAATGTTCTTGTTAATGGTGCTTGTGAAGAAGGTTAGTATAATTATTCATTTAACAAGAATAAAAATAAAATCGCAGAAAGTTTTGAGGAATTGTCTCTATTCTCAATTGGCTCCTCTGAATAATAATAGTAACAGCAGACGGACAAATTCTGTAACGAAATGAGAACGCGAGATCGTGCAGATTTGTTGAGTACCGATTGATTTGAAAATTATTGATTTTATGAGGAAGTGTCAAAAGATCTTTTTTGTGGGACGCTTAATCAGCTACAGAAAAGTCCTCTATGGTGTTTACCTTCAATGAATAGTTTTCGAGGGAATTTGACGAAAAAAAAATTTCATCTAGTCGTTTTTTTATAAAAAGTGAAAAGGAACGTTTTTGAATGTTTTTAATACATTATATCATTTTCAAAATACAACTAGATAATAAAAAAGCCAAATATGTATTTTATTGCATTTAATGCATTTAATATTTGATATATTTTGTTGATAAAATCTGTGAGTTCAACTTGTAGATTAAAAAATGTTCTAATAATGCTCTTATGACCTCCAGAATTCCTGCAATTCGCCATAAATCAAGAAGAAATGCGTCAAAAATGGTTGGCATCGGTACAAGAGTGCCAACGCCTGCATTCAGCCCTGGAGAAGGCCCACCACGAGTCAGCAGATCTCGACAGAAAGTTGAGTCACGCTCGGAGACTCCTAGACGAGGAGAAACGTCGTCGACGTTTAGCCGAGGACCAGCGTAACTCCCTGGAGAGACAGATAGCTCTGGCACGTGACCTCCTCTTCAACGACGGTGGCAGAAACCTCAATGACGAGACTCGAGAAAAACTACAATTTCTGAACAACACGACACTGAATGGACGCCCCAGCAACGCCCATTTGAAGGACCTCCAGAACGAAAAACTGAACACAATAGCGGAGCTGGACTCCACCGGTTCCCTCTTAAGTGACCTGAGTTGTTTCTCAAAGTCAGAGGATGACCTGGATGCCTCAGCTCTCCTCAGTCAGAATCACAAGAAGCGAGAGTGGAAAGAGCACAGACCGAGTGGAGAGTACTCCACGAAAAAGCGTCGTAGTACCCTCCAAAAGGTAGCAGACCTTAACAACTCAGACAGAATAATAGCAACGACAACAGTTGTGATGCCAAAGGACGGGGCGATCACTGCGTCATCAGTGATCGAGGCAGTGCCTGGGGATGAGAATCAGGACCCTAAGTCACCCCTCCAGAGCTCTAGAAAACGTCGTAAGAGTTCAGAACGGCCACGTGCCAAGAAAGATGTGCCAGAGGGCTATCCCAAGCCTTCAGCTCCCGTGGCAGAGCACCTCACCTCAGGATCAGAATCTGAGGGAATATTCAAGCCCAGTCCCAACATCGGGGGCTACACTTTCAACACAAAGACCCTGAGAGGCCACAACTTCGTCCCCAAGTCCGTCCTCAAGCCAGAGACTTGCTCCCCCTGTGGCAAACGAATTCGATTTGGCAGAGTTGCTCTCAAATGCAAAGACTGCAGGGCTGTGACTCACGCAGAGTGCAAGGACCTTCTGCCTCTTCCCTGTGTGCCCGCAGGGAACACACCGACTCTCCGAGGGGCAACTGGGACAATCGCTGATTATACCCCGATGACAGCCCCGATGGTGCCATCCCTCGTGGTTCATTGCATAAATGAGATTGAACTGCGTGGAATGAGTGAGCAGGGGCTCTACAGAATCAGCGGTGGCTCATCTGACGTTAAATGCCTCAAGGAGAAGTTCCTGAAGGGCAAGGGTGCCCCCTGCCTTTCTGACGTCGATGTATCGACCATCTGCTCGACTTTAAAGGACTTCCTGAGGTCTCTACGAGAGCCTCTCATCACTGTTGGACTCCTCGGCGACTTTGTTCATGCCACTCAGATCTCTGATAAACAGGACGCCGATGCTGCACTCTACCAAGCCATCTCTGAACTCCCCCAACCAAATCGTGACACCCTGGCCTTCTTGATTCTTCACTTGCAGAGGGTCTCCAGCAGTCCAGAATGCAAAATGCCAATTAGCAATCTGGCCAAGGTCTTTGGGCCAACGTTGGTGGGATACAGCAGTCAGGAACCCACTGCCACCTGCATGCTGAGTGAAACTGAGAATCAGGCTGCCATTGTTGAGAGTTTACTCAGAATTCCTTCTGATTATTGGGCAAATTTCGTTAATCCTGAGTGCGGAAATGACGTGGGGACACCCAAAATGGGCGAGCTCAGACACACGCCATCGACAGAGTCCCTTCTGAAGAGGACGACCTCCAGGGGATTCTTCAATACTCCGTTAGGTGCCAGTCGATCGTTCTTGAGGAAGAATAAGAAATATTTTGCCACTCCACCGTTGAGGAGTGGCATCTAGGGAATTGGGGGAGGAAATTTAATATATTTCTGAGCTGAGGGGAGACTTTGCATTTTAAAGACTTCAATGAATTCACTGGATTTTGATAGAACTTGGGAGGATTTATAGAGAAATTTAAATCGTTTGTAAAATGTATTGATGATTCAAGTGGTTCCATAATAAAACTCTAATTTTTACACAAATCATGGAGTTGTGGAAATAAAAATACATTATTTACAATTCAGACCAGCTTACTCTATCCTGCAACATGTTGAATATCTTTTAACGAGCATTCCCATCATCTTTGCATAGTGTATTGCAATTCTGATGTTCTAGGCCTCTCATAGAATGTATTAATTATGAATTTTCCACCTTCCACAGAAAGCGAATCAACAAAAATAAAGAAAATACTATTTACACTGAAGACCAGCTCATATCCTGAACTCTCACTTGACGTAATTATCATCAGTTTTCGTGCAAGTTTTCTCCTTCATCTCCCAGCAGGACTCCCAGAAGAGGCTCAACCGATTGTCACGATTCGCACAGAAGTGCTTGAAGTCCTGAATAATCTTCTTGTGAAATAGTTCATCACCAGTCGAAGTGGACAGAGACTTCCACTTCCTGCTGATCATGTGATTCCAGGACCAGAGAAATCCAATGGGTCTGTCCAGGCTGAAGTCAGTGCTTTTTCCACTGACGTGTCTGGTGATATAAGCCTCATGAGGACTAGGCTGATCTGGATGAACTGGATACCTTTTCTGATTATTTCTCCTAACAATGTTGGTGCCAGTCCTCTGCCTGGGCCTTGGACACATGGTGGATGGCACCAGAATGAAGGAATTTCCTGTGAGATGGACGTACTGATGATCATTTTCATTACTCTCCACTTGACAGGGAACAAATCCAAATCTTTGGAGGATTGCCTCCTGAAAAAGGAATAGCCTCTGGGCATAAGTGTCTTCCCTGAATTCCTCGAAGAGGTATCTCCTGTTGCACATGAGGCAGTCTGTGTTCAGGGGAATAAAAATGGGACCCCTTAGGGGATCGCTCTTGTGGGTGAAGGGCAGTGCCAGCAGATCACTGGGGATTGGGACCAATTGGATTCCACACATTTGGGCTTTTCTCTGCCAGAGGAACACTAGATCACCAACGATACTTCCTGAGGACGCCACCCACTGGACTACGAGCTCGTAAGCATGATCAGGTTTGAATATCGATTGGTATCGCAGGTGTCCCCACTCGATTCTGTCGCTCTTGCTGTTTAGATCGATGTCCAAATGTGTGTGCTTGTAAGGTGGTCCTCTCCAGTCCTTGTCATCAAGTTCTGGGTCCAGTTCGTCCCTCAGAAATGTCGGTATATTGCTCTCGTCGATGGTGTTACAGGCAATAGGAATTGGTGATGAAACTGTGGACAGAGTAATCCCTGGATTCGAAGGACTGCACCACCCTGTGGGGGGATTCATCTCGATCTCCACCCACTCGTTCTCGAAACTCTGAAGATCACCTAGAGGGGGAGAGTAGTCCAGTGCCTTCTGGCCCTCTTTGTCCTGGACTATGTGATAGAGGTAGAAACCCAGGATGAAGGGCTTAGAGAAGTCACCAGAGGCGTGACAGATGAGTTTCTCTGATATCATGCTCTGCATTATTTTCAAGGCCTTCTTTACTGGGACACCACCCTCGAGGTGATTGTTCAGCCACTGAACTGCATCTGCTGAAACGAATGTCTGACTCGGGAGGGACGGGTGTTGGGTGAGAAAACCTACTCCTGCCTGTGGGGACTTCATTGATTCCAGGATTTCTGATGTCGAGGCTGTGCTCTTCAGTTTCGGACACTCAGTGTTTGCGCTGGAATGTAAAAAGTTAATTCAATTATCTCGATTCATTAAATAGAAGATAATTCTTCAAAAGTGATTGATTTGTGGAAATAATGAGAATTCCATGAATAAGTTAAGACAATTACTTCTCCTCGTTGCTCTCGAGGTGATCCTGCTGGGGCTGCTCTAGGGCCAGGGGCAATACAGCTTCACTTGCTGGAGAGACTCTCCCTCGGTCCATCACCTTTGATCCTGATCTAATCATTCCACGAGATCAAGGCAAAATTGGATAATAAATTCTCGAGTATTAAATTAATGGAGTGTCAATCGTTCAGATTAATAAATTCATGAAAATTAATAAGTGAACAAGTTGAAATGTAAAGCACAACTGGTGTAGTTACAGAAATGTAGACAATGAGAAAAGAAAAATAGTGCAGAGGAGAGACCAACCTGTTTGGCACGAAGCGAGGAGTGTCGAGTAAAGTACGGGCAGCTGCAGTGCTCACTACATGCTTATCCTACACAGAAAATCCCGTCACTCACTCACTCACAACCAAAACCATTAAATCAATATATCGATGCATCAATTAGCTCCATCAAACCATACAACAAAATAGGTAATCTAGGATTAATAAAACGTAATCAGAGAATTAAAAGAACACATGGTGAAAATAAAAACATCTCGAAAGCAAAGCATTCCTGGTCGTTAATCTCCACACGATAAATCTATAAAAATAAATGATTAGACGAGTCATTAGCTGATCCAGGGGTCGAGGACACATGCCCAATCATTATTTAATAAGCAAACGAGATTAAATGATACAGGAATTAAACCCATTCAGACCTGAAATGATAGGGAAGTGCAAGCTAGTTAGCAATCAGCCGATGATAATTTGTCAAACCTTGGTCTCGGCTTTTCTGGAAGCCGGTTGCTTCCTAGGCGCTCCCTAAACGGTGAACTTCCCACTAGACTTGTCTGCAATGTTGGAATAAATGGAAAATTGGGTGAATTATTGTTCATATTGTATTTTTCAAAGCATATGATGTGGAAATTTACAGCAGCGTTATTGCGAAAGCTTCATTTTAATTAGATTAAATATTTTCATTGAAAACATAGTCAGTTTCAAGTGATATTTTTACGTTACGGGGATTATCGAAAGCTAATTTCAAAATAAACAAGTGCAGACATCCATAGCAACTCAAGCAATGACAATATTAATTTGTGTTCAAGCGGATTGATTGGTGTTGTGGGTTAATAAGCATTCTGTGATTGTCTAGGCGTTGAGCGGAATCCCATCGGATAATTGTGAGATTTTTTTCTTCGTTTGATGCTCTCGTCGATTGAAATAAGCTCGATATGATGATGATTGAATGTATGGGAAGTACTCATGGGATTCCCTGTGGAAATTTAAATTTTTTCGAAGAATACAATGAGAGAAAAACGACCAGCAACATCAGAAAAATAATAATTCTTTGGTTCAACTTTTGATTTTTGAATATGAATAATTGCTCTGTCTTCAAAATAAATCAATAAAAAGTAAATAAATAAATAATGAATATATGTTTTACAGAGGAAAGTTAATCGAAAAATATTTTCTCCCTACGGAATTGCTGTAAGATTATTATTATTTTTATTCTATTTGTGAATTCTGTTTTTCTCTCAGTGCCGAGAAAGAAATAGTTGTATCATAAATCGAAATACTGATTGATAATTAATGGAAGTCAAAATATTGTATTTGTTGAAATTATAAAAATGAAATGAAATGGAGTGGAATGAAATGCATTATTCATGAAGTACCACAGGTTCTCTGGGATATTCCTCGGCGGTGGATTCTTAATAAAACAAATATAGAAAATATAATCCAACGGATTTTTTCCCACAGGAAAATCCTATAAAAAATTGTCATACTCGTTGAAAGCTGTTAAAAATTCTTCTGTGAGTTTTCCAATAATGAAGTCTCCAAATTCAAATTGAATTTCCCGATATTCCTCAACAATTCTTGACACCCCGATAAAAATAATTGAGTATCAACAAACAGTTATCATTTTGCAATGAAGATGAGAAGATTTTCCTCTATTATAATAAACTTCAAGGGAAATTTCGCGGTTGTCAAAATTAATCATAAATATGAGGTAAAACATTTATATTGAAGAATCAGGGAATTGGAAACTCCAGAGGAATCGGAAGAAAATTCAGAAAAATCCCAACAGCGGAGCGTTAAAAGATTATGTAGTGAATAATTATGAGCATTTTCGGATTTGGGAAGGCAATTATACCTGGTTAGTGAGGAATATCAGGCTCGTGCTGTGCCTTCGCCTGGTCAGGTGTGAGGCAGGATCTCTCGGAGGTAATCCGACTAGAGCAGTGGGGCTCTGAAACATATCATGCTCGACACCTTTCCCAACTAATTTACCTTCAACTTAATTAAAAATACTATGCCAGAAAATAACGTCTTCCTTTCCTACTGCACTATCAGAATCAATTAATTGTGGCTGTTACAGGGAATGCGACTACTAGCAATTACAATTATTCATATTAAAATATTCAAACACCGATAAAAAATGCCAACAGTCTGGCAATGACTCGAGCACGTGCCTCACAGAATTACAACTGAATACATCAAGTAATAAAACAGCGAATAACAAAAAACATTGCAATAGCCGAAATTTGCTCGAGAGCTTTTTCTCCATGCCCTGAATGCAGAGTCAAAAGTAAAAATAAATATCAACGATTTACGAGTTATTGAATTAGTGGTATACGATATTGTACATCGTGCGTGGAAAGTAATTGTGCCGTTAATGATATCTACATTTTTATCGAATAAGTTAGGATTCTGTGTGGATTGATTTTTCGGGGAGATTGTTACCCAATTTTTGCTGGGATTCGGTCGACGAATTTTGTTCAGCCAGCCCTCGATAAATCGCAGGAAGCCATCGGTCAATTGGCACTGCTCCATGGAACTCAAAGGCGTGTATATGTCACATCTCGATGAACCCTCCAGAATCTTTTTGGTTGCTGTATTGTGCAGTGGCAACATGAACATCCTGAATCTCCAGTATTTCAGGGCCTATAAAAATAAATGATTACTAAAAATTAATGCCTGAAGCTCCAGTATATCAGAGCCTAACAAAAAATTACACACTAATTTTCTAAATCAATTTTGATAAACCAATAATGTCTTTAAATTTCACTAATTGTTAAAAAACAGAATTAGATGGGAGGACCTAATAAAAAAAATAGCTCATCAATTCAACAAATTAATTTTAATGAAAAACGTAAGTACCTCGACAAGGGCAAAATCAGTATCGCCTCGAGTGCAAATGTAGTGGTCAAGATAATTCCAATTGTAATTCTCAAGTTTTTCTGTTGTGAAGGATACCCAAGACACTTCGTACGTCTCGTGGTGTGGGGCGTGAAATCGATATCGATAATGAATGTTGAAAGGTGGATATGGATGCCTGAGAACAATAAATCGATTCTCAATGGGGCATTCGATGAGAGCAGGTCATTCACCCTCACCTTGGTCGATATCGTGTGACAGTGATGCAGTTGCCATACAGAGATATTTTGTGAAATATTCTCCCTATACTAAGCAGGTACTCCTCTTTCGGCTCTGATTCTGTCTGCCTTCCTCGGATCACAGAACTCACGTGATTTGACACGTGATTACCTGGAGTCGTTGACTTATTTTTGTCGTTTGTTGGTAATATTATCAGTTGAAATCCCTAACAATAAAATCACCATGTCTGATTATATTTATTTGTTATTGGAAATCCCAAATTATCACAAATTTTCCTGATTTCCATTAATTTCGATTTTTAGTTGTCAATGCCGTTGATAACGAGTGGTTTAATTTAAAAAATGCTCATTCATTCAAAACTTCTTTGATGGAATCTCATTAAATATGAAGAAATAAATAAAAAATAATAAAATTCAGTGAGTATTCTACCTGAGCCAATCTCTGAGAGACTAACTCCCGAAAAACTTCAGCAGTGGTCAGAGGCTTTTTATAAATCGCTCTTTGCTGTGCGAAATCCGCGTTCACGTCATCAGGCAGCAAATTATAATCAGAAACGACGTAATCATTTTGCAGACTCCTCTTGTCCGGAAAATAATCAGTGGTGATGGGTAAACACGCTGGAATGGTCAACGACTTCCAGTCGACCCCTGAAATATCCCATCTCCAATATCAGTGCTATTTCAATTTCACGAAATACAGACGAATGACCAATAGAATCCAAATTTTACTCTCAAGCGATAAATTCCCCTCTACTAATGTGCACTACTCTTTGAAAATTCGGGTTCTACCAGAGACCAATTACAGTGGATGATCGAAAATATTTTGTGAAATATTATTGATTAGTTTTGCGGCAAGGAGTACAAATACACAGATGGTTTATAAGCAGATAACAGGAAAGTGTGACAGCATGAGAATATGGGTGAATGTGACATGCATGAAGAACTAGACTAGAACGGTCATAATTCTGTCTTAAAGTTTGAATGAATGCATTTAGTTTCTAGATAAATTTTCTATTAATTCCAAAATCCATCAAACGAAATTTCCATGGAAAAGACAATTATCAGATTCAATACAACTCTCCCATTTTTTCATTTGACAGCTCTGGTTTTGTTTGCAAGATCTTGGAAATTAAAAAAATTGCGTAGGACAACTCAAGAGCAATCATTCATTAACAGAATTATTAATGACCATATTCTTCCAACAGATACAGAACTACGATAGAGTCTAAAAGTACTGAAGTCTACTCTGGCGTTTTTCTACACCATAACCGAATAATTACGAGGCCCGAATAATGTATGCCGCTAACCTATGATCGCTGTGTAATTTTGACATCATTGGCACACATCATCATATCCAGTGTTGCGTCCCGACAAGACGTACGATAGCATGGAAATAAATTTCATTACGATTACTCATCGCTCTGGTAAATATCTCTAATAAATTAGCTATACAGATTTGGGAAATCGAAATGCATGCGCCGCTGCAATCGTTGATTCATTTCGATAGTTCTTCCTGTTTCGTTTCACGTTGATTCGGAATACATTTGACTTCAATCCATAGAAATTTTGTACACTGATAGAAAAATCGTCCTGCTGTCACAGAACAGAAATATTTTCTGATAAAAATTCTGGATAATGTACCAGACAGGGTGAGATTTTAGTGACAGCATCTCGATTTTTCTCGCAATGTACGATATCCATTCAATAATTCGTTCATTCCTTTTTCAATGAAACGAAAAGCGAAATAAAGCGAATTACAATTGAAAAGTTATCAGGTTGAATATTGAAAAAGGAGTGGTATTCCTTTATTGAATAATTCCACTAATGATGACTGTCATAAAGTGGCATGATGACTGATTCATGCACGTGTGAACGCATTGAGATGATTCCTCTTTCTCTCTCTCATGTACTCAGCAGTCTAATCGATCATAATAATCATCGGCGCAATGACACAGTGATCTGTTCGATGATTTGCGACAACATAAAAGACGATTGTTATTTCGAACCTGTGGTGAGGGCTGGAGTCCACTCTTGTTCACCAGTGGCACCCCACAATAGGGTCAAACTCTTATTAACAGCTGGCAAACCGGAGTGGCCATTTTTCTCGACAGTCCCGGGGCCTTGACACCGTTGATTTTTACCTTTAGCATCTGTTAATTAACTTTGTTGCTTGTCTCCAGGTTGCGGGTAACGGGGGGGAAATAGGGGTGGAGGTACTTACGGTCTTGGAAGCCGATCTGAGAGGCTGATCTGGAAATACTCCCGTGGATGGCCAGTGATGACGAGGTCAGGTACTCAACTGGGGATCCTGAGACAGCTGAACTCGAGTCTGTCTGCTTGTCTGGTCGTGATTGAGCAGGAATTGCTTGGTAGTGGTGCTGTTGAATTAGAACACCTGTTGGTCCTGGAAAAGATCGAGGCATCATTTTTATTTCTATTCCATCAAATCCAAAACAAATCCAAGACATCTTTAAATATATTTGACAATTATATCAAAAAATTTTGTTCTCAATCTAATTATCGAAATTAATATTGTCATCAATAAAAGGAGAATTGCAAAATAGTTTTCACAGAGTTTCAATTAAACATTTTTAGGGACTCTAATTGTTGAAAATAAAGTGCCAATTACCTTTCGGAAAAATGTGTGTCCACCTTCTGCGATTGCTCGTTAATTTGATAGTAACATGAGAAGGATCAAAAGGATTGATGAGAGCCCTTCCAGGCCTGTGTAGACTAGCAGGTGGAATAACGGAATTATTGGGACTACCAGCGCTGCCCACGATGGGCCTGAAGGGTGGTGATATCTCCGATTCAGGGAATTCATTCTTCAAAGAAGTCTTGACCTCGCCATTGGTCTCCCTGGGTTCGTCACTCCTGTAGGGTATGGATATGGCAGCACTTCTACTGGCCGCCGGGGAGTGAACCTCACTGGTGAGATGATGGATATCAGGATCTGACATTTTCCTCTTAAGAAGCTTCAACAGGTGTCCATTGTTGTGGGTTTCGATACAAGTGACACTCGTCTTCTTCATCCTCGTGGAGACCTTGGAGGTGTGAATTGTGGGGAGCTGAAAGACCTGTGCATCGTAGGCGTCATAATCAAACAGAGTATTATGAAGACAATCCCTGGGGTCTTCCTGAATAAGTTTTCCCTTGCAGATGAGTTTGCCATTCTCCACAGGCTGTTTGTACACCTTCTGTGGGAGTTTGATTCTCGGTATGAACGTGGAGTACGGAATTTTCTTATTGGTAGAGTAAAAACTAAGATTTATCCAATGAGGCATGCTGTAATCGTCAGGAACCTTGACAGACGTGTCTTTATTGTGGAATTTCAGGAGAGGAACAGCGTGGAGAGGCTGTTCCCCCACACAGACTAGATCACTTCCAACTCCGTTGTCTATGATCCTCTGTTTGGTGACATTCGTAAGTTCTCTATCCACTTCGAAGACACCCACCCCAGGTGTTATCACCACTGATAGCTGTCCAGTTCTGTCAAAACTCCTGTCCAGATAATGCTTCTCAAAAACATTAAGCGACATATTGAGCACCTCCAAAAAATTGCCCTGCGCAGCTGTTGAGTTGGTGGCCTCTGGCACCGAGATTCCCTCCTTCTGGTGATACTCCAGAACAATTTTTTGATAATCTGTAAATAATTTACGTAACTGCACGAGTACATTACTCCAGTCCTCGTACCTCTCATTCTGCACAGCAACTCTGTAAAAATCCTCGTAAAATCGTCCCCTGTAATCCTGCTGGAGGCATTTTCTCATATCATTGGGAAACTCCTCGAGAGTATTAGCGTTGTAGAAAGTCCTCGAGAAGAGGACAATAGTAACCTCAGGATTGCTGCCATTTTTCCTCCACTTTTGAAAAAGATCAGCCAAAAATCCATTGACAGCTTTTTCGAAGTAGAGATCCCCGTGGATATCAAAGTCCCACATCTCACAGCTCATCTGAATAAACAGGTAAACCATGCTGGTAGATGACCTGAAAACGACCTTCGTATCATCATTGATAACTCCACAGGCCACTCTGTCCCCCTGCGACCACATCTCGTACACCTGACATCTGATGCTCGATTGACAGAATTCAATTTTTTTATTCATATAAACGCAGGTGTTCACCAGAGAATTCTTCAACCTCCACATTTCACTCCTTCCCATGTACTGATCCTTGAAGGTTAATTCTATGGAATCCAGGGCGACATCCTCAGGGTTCACGATGTTCATGTAGACGTCAGCAAAAGTCCTCAGTTGGAACATCGTGGCAATGTTGTTCTCAACACTTATTGTCTCTCTTCCCTGAAGATCCTCTTTGATAACTGTCACCTGTAGAGTTTGTCATTAATATTATCATTCCATTTTATGCTTTAACAATATCATAGAGTACAAACAAGTAAAAGGTAATAAAAAAATATAAATGAATTGCCAGATAATTGATAACATTTGACAAATTGACAAATTGATTGAAATCATAAGATGATCGCAACGTTAATAACTGACACGAGCTCTACTATTTATTGTAGTAAGAGAGATTATTATTATCAATTATTCCATAACTATTTGTATATTTATATTGCTGGACTTTCTGGTGAAAACTTAACGATAATTTTAATTCGCTGATATAGCTATCTCTGATTACCTGCAGCAAGAGGCGACTAAACTCGTCCTCTGGGTGATAAATCTCCACAACATCCCCGGGTTTTATCCAGGGGCAGTCCTTTGGGTTTATTATCAAGTCTGCATCGCTGAAGTTCTTCTGATGAACGATCAGCTTGAAAACCTTCATCTTGACGCAGAGGTATCGACAGCCTACCTCAGTGGTTCATTGTTTTCGGCTGTTACCAGGGTTTTAGGTTATATGGAGAATTGAAAGGATGGAGGACACCTGGGGGGTGTCATCCTGGAGAGAATATTCAAGGATCACTGATTTAACACTGATTTTCAGGATATTACGAGCTTTGAGGGATCAGCTGATTCCGGAAAGACTTGTGAGCCTGATAAAATTTGACAGTTGCTACTCGCTCAGGTGATCGGCGGTTCTGGTGGGGAAAGGTGACAGGGGACAGGAGATAGGGGAGAAATCGTCAGTATCGACGAGGGAAGAGAGAAATGCGGAGAAAGAGACAGATAAATTATAAAATCACCTGCGCATTGTTGTAAGCTGATCTTGACGGGTGAAAAGGATAAAAACAAGTGTCAGAGTTTAGCTTGTCATTTGACAGGTGAAAATGAGATGAGCTGCAGATGAGACTGTTTTGGTAATTTTGTAAATGCCACGGAATTTGTCGGGAACTGGTGATTTTCCATACATATCAGGGGGTAATGATGGTGATGGGAGTGTTAACCTCGATTTTGTTGGGGGACCAGAAGACTCCGTTGAAGTTTTGACAGGTTTATGGGGTTCAAGGATTAAAACGATGAGAGATGCGCTTTAAAGGACTCCTGTTATTCCTTATTTGCTTGGTTGGAACTACTGTGGTTTTTATTGGGTTCAGCTATCAGAGACCTTCCATTCAGACTTTGGTCACAGAGACGCATAAACAATTGCGAAGCTTCCAGGTAATTTTGGGTACAACGAATTTATTAATTAACTAACTCAGGGGACAACGAATTTATTCATTCAAATTAAACTCCGAAATCATTTTCTCTACAAATGGATAATGTGAGGTTATCTTTTATGATTATGAATTTGTTTTAAAAAAGCATATAAGTTTTATTATATAATGTTTTATTGTGAACTTTTTGGGGATTGTAGCATTTTTCTGTGATTTACTGAAAATTTGAGGTATCTCAATTATTTGAATTTGAAAAAAGTGTAAAAAGTCTGAAAATTTCTGTTTTGGGATACATAATGAAACTCAGCAACGGAGAAATAAAGAGGAGCAAATATCTCTAAATGTAAGAGAGATAGCAAAATTTTTCTTAAGACCTCTTTTTGAGAGTGGAGTGAGTGCTCTAAGAAAGGTTCTTACAAAAAATCGGTATCTCTTTTAGATTCCGAGATATTCTTCGAATATTTACTGTCTGATTTGAGTTATTGTCGTCTCAGTTTATTGCTAAATTGACTGGATAATTTTTAGGAAAACTTGAAGGATGTCGAGGAAAAACGGCTAGTGACAGACTCCAAGTACCTCGCACTGCTCGGTCTCGATGGGCAAACGAGCACTCCCTCATTGCTATTGAAAACCCAGAATGTAACAATCGTTACCCTCCTACGACCAGGAAACGAAATTAATATTTACGGATTTGTAAGAAATGTCTCGCACTTTTTACCAGGAAATAACATCGCCATTTATGGAGTGGGGCTGAACGACGATGCTCTCCAGAATCTCCAAGGGATATGTAACTCGAGTAGATGTAATGTCATACCGTTTTACCTATCACCATTCCCCAATCACGCTGAAGACGATAGACTCCACGTCTATCGACCTCTAGTCATACAGGTAAATTTACCTCCATCAACCAAATTAATTCATTCAATTGACATAAAAAAGTCAACAAATCATTATATTATCTTATATGTATATATAGTATAATATGCATAGCTTAGCTATGCGCCGAAAACAGCTAACAAAAAAAGTTACATTTTTTTTTTTAAAGGGACTCTCTTTTCTTGTTGAATCTGTGAGGAATAATGAAAAGATTAGAACCTTTTTTGTAGAGTGGAACGAGGCCTACAAAAAAGGTCCCCATGAAAATTTCGGTATTTCGCGCAGATTTTACTGGCGTTTTTCTAATAATTTAATGAATGTTTCAATTTTATTTGCAGACAGCTTTAAATACTCTAGGAAATATATTATACATGGACTCAAACGTGAGAATAAATAACTCAGACGTATCAAAGTACCTCTCACCACCCTCTGGGATACTGACGTGGCCAACGAAGCATGCCATAAGCTCACTGACACATCCTAAGATGTACGAGTACTTTCACGCATCCTCGGACAGTTTTTTGTTCCTTCCTTTGATAAGAGCTTCACACTTAGTCATTAGAAATACTAAAGAGATCAGAGAGAATGTCATGCTGCCATGGGTACAGTGTGCACTCACGAGAGATTGTATTTGTCCTATAGGTGAGTTTTATTTCTTTGAAATTCAAAGAATTCGAAGAAAAGTTGCCCTTTGAAAATTCTCTTCTAACATTTTTTAATGTTAATAACGTAATGAGGATAATTAAAGTGAATTTATTTCGTCAGGTGCACAATCTTTTGGCTGCAGATTCAACAAAAAGCCCCAGTATCGCTACTCGGGCTGTCACTCCTACGATACATCAGCACTCAATATTGTCCTAGGTCGCTACTTCAATTACGATGATTCACGGTACATAATCGCAGAGAGGGAGTCTTATTTCACGAAAATGCAATCAGACGAAATCAACGACGAGTACCTGACCATTGCAAGGCAGAATAATAGCACTGAGGCTAATCCCAGAAACTTCATGCTTCTTGAAACATGAATCAGTATTTATATTGGAGGAGTTCAATACGAACAAATCATGTGATAAGCTGGCACAATTGTACTTGAATAAAGTCTTCGATGAACAATCATTGGAATGTCTACTCATTCTTCATTTTTATGTTTTTTTTATTATCCAAGATTTTCTTACCAGACATTCGTAGAATTTTCTCATTTATTTCAGGAACATAAACTGCAATAAATAATTTACAAAGACCTATTAAAATAGAACATTAAACATTCATTAATCAGTTTATTCATTGAGAATTGATTGATGTAAACTTGAAAAATATTTCGATATTCATTGCGTCATTTATGAAGTAAAAAAATTATAATTTTATAAAAAGATGACAAAAAAAGAAGATAATTTCAAAATTTTTTTATTGCAATCGCGAAAATTTGAATTCAAAAAGTAGAGAATTCTGGAGAAAATCCTTGATGCTCAATTTTTTTCTGGATTTGAGTGTCAGCCAATTTTTTTTCAGGGTTACCTTTTCGATTTTTTTCTCATCTTCGAGGATTGTTCTGTCAATTTGAATTCCAATCATCGAATTTTCAAGTTTAGAATGAAAAATTCGATTTTGAGGTCTGAGGAAATGACATATATAAACCCAGCGATCTACGTAGAGCCAAGGAAAAATAATGATCGAAAATATAAGCGTGAGATCGTTTGCGAAACTAGTGGAGATGGTGCGGAATTGTCTGTGGGTTTACCGAGGTTTTCCCTGGGGGGTAGTCCCCAGGTGTTGAACGCCTGTCGGTCGCAGTCAGCAATGTCATCGATAACTCCATCCCTGTCGTCGATGAGCCAGACCAGGTCGAGGGTCGAGCGTCGCTGTGTGATTGACGAGGGGAGGAACGAGGGTGCGGAGAATTCAGAGCCGATCCAAAGGTTCGAAGTCATTTTATTTAGCAATCAACGAATGATTTCACTCATATCTTCTCCCTAGATGATAGTAAGAGTTTCATCCCTGGAAAAAATTAAAAAATGAAAGAAATGGGGTGGAAACACCCCATGTCCCATGGGTCTGATCTAAAATTTTAGGGGAAGGAAATTGACTTCTTTCTAATCTTTTCTAATTCGCATTTTCTCTCAATTAACCGCCGACTTTACATACATTTATATTCATATATTGAAGGGTGTTCTACACCCGTATATATAGACAAAATTAACAGAATAAATTAATAGAAAAAATATAACATTTTTGCGTTTTATCATTATTTAATGACTCACAAAGCTTCCAGGTGGTGCGAACATTCTTCTCCTTTTCCCTAAATTTTCAAAAATAATCAAAAAACTGTAGAGAAAATGCATGAAAATAATCGCACCATCACAAAACCTCCTGAGCCATTAAATAATGGCAAAACGTAAGAACGTTATATTTTTTTATATCAATCCCATCGATAATTTGCCAAAAACAAAATTAAAACGTGAATTTTCGCTATGAATAGAATATTATCAGACAATTACAATTACAAGATGGAACTGACACTGCTCGAGGATCTTCAGCCAGTGAATTACGTGCGATTGTTTATAACTTTTTTGTGCTTTACATACGTACTTATTTATAAATATGTATTTTTCCTATAGCTTCGATGCCAGAGTTTTTACATATTATTTGGTGCGATGAAAATAAGACATAAATAATGGGAATAATTAATTTTTCTTGAATTTCTATCTCATGTTTTCCTTTCTTCCTCAGATACACTGTAAATGGCGAGAGGGTGCAGATATCAGCGTCTCTCTCGAGTCTCTCATCTCGTGATCACTCGACAGTGTCTCTCCCACGACAGCTGGCCCACGAGGAGTGGGTCCAGAAGAAGAAACTCGAGTCCCAACGTCTCAAGAGAGAATCCGAGAGACTCCAATCGGAGCGAAAAGCTGAGGAGGAGAAGAACCTCCGGGAACAGGAGGAACGCGAGCGCAGGGAGCACGAGAATTTCTTGTTATGGACCAGGAGGAAAAATCAGGAGGAAGCCAGGAGGCGGAAATTGATGGATAAGGAACGCGAGCTGACCGAGAAGCTGAAGGAAATCGAGGAGAAAGCTGCGGTTGGCAAGGAGTTGTGCCTCCTGCAGTGGTCCCTCAATAAAAATAAAGTCCAGAGGGGTAGATAAATCCTGGAAATTTACAATAAAAATTCCATCCCCTAATTCCATTTCAGTCTCAAATTTTATGATTGAATACAATCAATAGTATATATAGCTATTTATTAATTATGAATCGCATTAAAGTTTCATTTTTTCACATCAATCCCATCAATAATTTGCAAAAAATTAAATAAAAAAACGTGAATTTTGACTATATATGTGTGTGGAACATCGATAAATAATTCCAAAAATTGTCTTGCAGTTCAAAAAGAGGAACAAGAGCGCAAGTTGATTCAACTTGAGGAAGAGAAAAAGAGAAGAATGCAGGAGAGTGTGAAAGCCTTCGATGAATGGCGGGAGAAATCAAAGAACACACCGAGACCTGCCACCCAGGGACTGCTGGGTTAGTAATTTATTTCACCTCGTGAATTCCCTCAATTAATTAAATTCCACTCTTCAGCTCATCAAAAAGCCAAGCCCGCATACGTCAACCCCATCCCCTGGATTGGAGAGGAAACAACTCATGAAATATCCAGGAATACGCGACAAGACATTCCTAAATCTACTGGAGTTATCAGGAACCCAAGGAACGCACGATATTTTTCCAATCAATAAAGGAGAATTGATTGATCTCATTTGAGAGAAAAATATGCCATTTATTTCGTCATACATCGAACAATTGATCCATTCATTTCACCAGGGTCTTCTCCTCCTCTTGGAGTCTCTGTATGTCGGATTTATTCATAAAGTAGTAGGTCGGCTGCCTCGATTTCTAGAAAAATTGATAGTAACATTGAAACTAGAGACAAACTGGGACTCCATGCATTACTCACCAGGTCTTTTTGTACTCGTTTGGCGCCTGCTTTTATAAGAATACCACTTATTTCTTCGACCCCGTGAACTCCCATGGCGTAATGGAGGGCAGTTCTGTTCAACTGATGATTAAAATTACTCATTACTCTACATGAATGGGAAATAAATTCAAGGCCTCCGAGTAAAAAACCACTGCAATGCCCAGAGAATTTTGCGATGAGACTTTTCAGCCGACGAATGAGGAAAATGTCTGAAGGATGAGTTAAAATAAATGTTCATTTCAGAGGAACAGGACGAAACTACCTGAGGATGATATAAAGGCGAGAAATAATTTTAATAATTATTTAGAAATGCGAGGTGGGAGCGCTGCCATTTTAGTTTAATACCCCCTAGATCTTGTGGCAAGTTTCTAAGATGGCGGTGCCAAGACGTCGTAATTTAACGAAATTATTCCAATTATTTATCCTTTTTTTGACTGAGAATGTCTGGAGCAAATTTTTCTTCACATTACAGTAATGTTTTGATGCTGTGGCCTCTCAAGAATGTAGGAGATCTGTTTTCAATTGCAAAACTCATTGCAGAATTCAAAATCTATTGTGAATATTTATAAAGTATTTTCTGGAATTTTTGGAGAATTATCCATCGAATTCACTAAATACTTCTATAAAATGTCATTATATGGTTCGATCATTCCATTTTAAATGGAAAATTTCAGAAATTCAATAGAGAATTCTCAATCAATTGAATTCCCCTGGGTTTTTACATCTCCTACATTCTCCGAAAAATTCCACAATCTATTTACATTATCTCCAATGCGCAGTGTCTCAGGGTAAGTATTGGCGAGGTATCGAACAATATCAATATGTTCGCAGAGGACTGCGATGTGCATGGAACACCGGCCAACTGTATTTTTTCCAACCGCCAGGAGAGTCCCTCCACCTCCGTACCTCGAGAGGATTTCCTTCGTGGCATTGAGATCACCACCACGAATGGCCCGATGGACCTCTTCCCTCTGGCCCTGAGGAAAAATCATCATCATTAGAAAGAATTCAGCTCATCCTCCATATTTTCGATGAAATCCACGATCCGAATAGGCTTGCTCAATATAGTATTTGTATTTGCATTCGTTCGCTCGTGATCTTCCCCACATAAATTTAATTGATGATCGATATTAATCGATTTATCTCATTCGACGTTGGATGACATTAATTGATATTATTTGATAACAGGTGATACTAAATGGCAGTAATTACTAGTTGATAATTAATAATAAAATCAAGAGATTTCCTAATTCCACACACAGAAAAACTTGAAGGTAATGAATGTCTAACAAGTTATTACCGATCTCAATGGCGGAGTGGTAATTACGATAAGTGAATTTTTTTCAAGGCCAGTTTTTAGCCAATATCTCAGAATCGAAGGGACATTGGCGATTTTTTATATCAACATTTCTTAGAGAAAAGGATGAGAGCTACAAAAAAGGTATTTATGAAAAAATCGCAATCTTCCTTTAATTTCGAGATATTGGCTAATAATGGTTGAGAAAAAAATGCACTTATCTACTTAGCGCTTCGCTGCAGATATCTTCTCCCTTTTCATGTTTTTTTGGAAAGTACTGGGAAATCCTGAATCAGATTGACGTGAAAGAATATTTATTTTTAGGTTTTATAATTATTCAATGACTCACAAAATTTTAAAGTCTGTTTTGTTAAATTATTAATAAAATTTTGTGAATTTTCGCAAAAATTTATTGAGACGCAGGAAAATTCTTCCACGATTATAGAACTTTGTGAGATACTAAATGATAATTAAACTTAAATCGCTATATTTTCACACCAATTTTATCAAGTGTTTCTCAGAAATTTGTGAAAAAAAAGAAAAAAAGAAGACACCGGTAATAACTCGTTAAGTTTTCCTGTGTGCACAAAAGAGGAAAGTATCGTACTATGTAAGTCGGAATTCCTTGGAGGAATTGAATGGTAGCTTCATGATTTCGTTCTGCTGTGATATCCACGACGTTGACACCTCCATCCTCAGTGTCCAGGATGTGGTCGTAGCCCTCGAGAAGGAGTTCAACGAGTTTTTCAGTTTCTCCTCTGGCTGCCAAATAAACCACATAACGATCGATATCTGCGACGTTCTCCTGGAAGTTCGACTCCTCCGCTACGTCACGAGCTGTTCGATAGAGCTCGTCTCTGTACCCCAGGTTGATCTGGGTCTCCTGGAGGATGTGGAAGAGCCCGTCCTTCGGTCGGGTGCGGACACACGCGAAGTGCAACATACTTTGTCCGTGCTCGTCCTGGAGACGACGCAAGAGAAAAAATTCGATACATCACAAAAATCGTGAGGAGAAATCACTTTACTGAATTTATAGCGAGTATTTTTATTGGTGCGCGGGGTTTACCCGATTAGCAGGGGAAAATGCTGATTCTGGAACGTCCGAGGCTGGACTTCTCAGGTAACTCTCGTCATCCGGAGTGTTATGAGGATCTTCCATTGGTGTACTGCTGCTGTCCAGGTCTATCTCCTCCTCCGGTCGATCAGGGACGATTAAAATATCAGATTTCTGAAAAAAAAAATAGTTCTTTTGATTGCTTTGGAAATCAATTCCTCGACTGAGTAACATGTAAATCTATTTTTCATTTATTAATAATATTAAAATAATAATATTTTATTTTTTGCAGAATTGATAATGTGAATCAATTCCGTATATCTTCAGAATTTGAAATAACTCGAAACGAAAATATATGAAACACATTTTGTATTTTCTATATATTTTATTTTATCAATTTTATTAATTTGAAGGGTTTGGAATATTTTGAATTACTTGCGCTGAATTAATTTGGTATTATTACTTTTTGTGTAAAAGTAATTAGTTTTTTTCCAGTCCGGCGAGAAATCAATTCAATCATTTCAATTCAATTCAGTTTAATTCATTCAATTAATCAATCAATTGCATCAAGTTGAAGGATTTTGAATATTTTAAATTATTTATTGAATTAATTTTGTATTGTCACATAAATTTGAGTAAAAATGATTAGTTTTTTCATTCCGGTGAGAAATAAATTCAATCAATGAATTCAATTCATTTTATTGTAAACAGTTTTAAATGACTTGCTGAATTAATTTATTGTTAATTATTGTCACATAAATTTGGGCGAAAGTAATGAGTCTTTTGCGTCCAGCGAGAGCTGTGCAAAAATATAAGGTATAATTTGATATTACCGAGAAGTTCTCACGCGACCAATGAATAATTGCGTACCTGAATCGAAGCGCCAGATTTATTCCTAGCAAAATTGTATAAATAAGTGGCAAGGTAAGTCAAAGGATCCTTCGGTCGACTCTGGGCGACTTTAGCGAGGCCTTTTATCAAGGGATCCCCAACAGCTGCAATAATTTCCATGAGAAAAAAAAAATCAATTCACTTGGTACTTAAGAATTAATTGCATTGCAGTATACTCACACGACGCGAGGTAACGTCCCTCCTCCTCCCTGAATATCGGAGTTTCCATGTTCGAGTGCTCTAGAAATGAAGCAATTGGACAAGTACCTTTAGTCTCCATATTTCAAGATTCAATTAACCATTAATTGCATCGATTCACTACATCGCCAAGCGAACAAATGGCGTTGTTATGAGAAGTAATGAGGAATAAATGACAATCATGAAAAGACTACAAAAAACAGAACGAACTCCAATCGGTGCAGCCAGAGAAATTTCAAACGTACGATAAAGCGTGATGTTATGGTAATATCCTTCATTATTTGAATAATTGGGTAATTACAATACACAATCGATTATTTTTTATCGAGGTGACGTGATTAATCCAAAAATATGAAGAACAGTCTATTTTATTCTAATGATTTTTCTCTTTATTCTCCTCCACAAGAAAGAAAAACCGGTCAAAGAATTGATTGACTATTTGATAAAACGGTGTAATTAATAAATATTAACGAATTTATTAAGAGTCATATCGATTTCTTCATAATCTCCTTCGAATCACACCACCTTCTCTAATTTGGAAAGATATGTGCCCCGTTTTTTTTTTCATGCGAAAACATTGACTTGTGCAAAAACATTGAACTAAAAATGATTATCTAGACTGAGTTGCATATTGTCCTTCAGTTAATAAATTTTAGTCATCGAAAGCTCAATGATTGTTCAATAAGTATCGGTTATCAATTTCCGTGTCCATAAACGGTTTGATGACTCCACAGAATGAATCCACTGATGGAAAAACACAGATAACATGGTCAAAGCATCTGCCTATGTATTAAATTGACATGATTTACTAACCCAGACACATGCAGTCCCCTCGAGGCAGCCTGACCCTCTCGTTTATTTATTTATTTATAAGTGTTGAGCCACTCGTTACTCATTATTTCATCAACAATATATCACGACGCGCCACAAACGAAACCGTCGAGAAAATAAAACGCTCACACATCTTTCCAACATTATCAACAATACAACATTGCTACAACATATTAATCTCATAAATCCATAAACAATACATTGGTATTTATCACAGTAATATCATAAGCGTAAGTCATTGAGCTCGATGTAATCCCCACAGAACATCAACTCACTAAATCGTTAATTACGGAATACAAAATTTAACAAAGAACTCAACGAAGACATAAAACAACAGAACAGGGACCAGTGGAAAATCAGCCTTGGAAAATGGAGTTCTTTCGTTTTTTGAATATCCCAGTGACCAACGTAGCAATCTTCAACGAATTAGTAAGAACCATTTCCTTCTCGAGAGAGAGAATACTCCGAATGGCGCGAATGAAGTCCTGAAGGGTCTGCAATTCGGTGATAGTGAGGCACTGAAGATTGCTAATTTTGAAAATATCGCTGCGCATTGTTTCCGTTGCCCTGAGTCCCCGGGTAATGCACATCTCCTTGAGATTGTCCGAGGTCCTGGAGAGTCCCGGTAATTTAATGGTGCAACAGAATCTCATGGTATTTCCAATGGAGGCAGGTCTTGCGCTGAGAAAACCTAGTTTCGGGTGTCTCTTGAAGACCATACGCCTGTCAAAAATCGAGAGAACCCTGGCAATCCTGACGTAAGCCTTGCCAATCATACCAGGATGAGAGTCATGGCTTCTGACGATGATCCTTATGTGATCCTGGACATTCACCCAGACAGCGATATCGCCAGCAGATGCCACGTAAACTCCACGTCCATATGGCCAGTGTTTTCCATGAAGTCTCTTCTCATCACTCTGCTCTGTCTCGAGAATGGGCCCAAGGAGTCCTGCACCCTCCAGTCGCACCCTGATGTCACTGGGCCTCTCCAGGATCTCATTCAACGTGTAATAAGTGCCTGCCTCGTCCTCGGATGAACCCTCCGCCAGGACAATCGCCACTTCCGGTGACATGAGAACACCAGTGATCCTCTTCTCAGTTTCCTCCAGTTGATTTATCGTCAATGTCAACGGCAGTGTAAAACTCTCAAGATTTCTGCATGCATCGATGGTCGTCAGCTGGACATATTTACCGGAAGGATCAATCGTCGACGTCAACACCGTCGACATCACCTCCTCGACGGTCTCATAATCGTTGCTGTTGTTGGCATCTGTGAAGAAACAGGAGAGGGGCTGATCTGGAAGATCTCCAGTTGCTGTTACACAATGGAGATTTCTGATAAATGGATCAAACAATTCAGCGAATACGATATAGCTCTCGTAATCCGGAGCTACAATAACTGTATCAAAATCATCATCGATATCTGTGATGCTAGAGCGATGGCTACTGGCACTTGTGTAGCTTATATGCTTGGGATTGTTGATGCTATATTTTTTAACAGACGGCCAAATAATGTCAAAGAGATTGTGGTCCATGCGTGTCACACGGTGCTTTATTTGGTCAAATATCGGACGTTTTAGGCAACGACCCAGAATTGTACCGGCGCTTGATGATCCTGAGTTTATCACTGAGTTTCTTCTTGTTGGCACTAGCAGGCGGAAGCAACGCTCTAGGGTCGAAAGGATGTCCGCTTCCGTTACGTCACGACGGGCTGAGTATACGTCCCCTTCACCCACTGCTCTCGGCACCAAAATTAGTCAATTATCATTACAGCGTTTCGCTAATTCACGAGGTCATTACCAGAATTTCAGGAATGAGAATGAGACAATGTTGAACAAGCGTGATTTTTGTGGTGTGCTCAAGATTTGTTAGATTAGTCGTCAGTGTAGACACGCAGGAAAAGTCAACAATTCAGGGACCAAGTGGAAAACTAAAATAAAATCACCGAAATCCACTGATATTTCCAGGGATATCTTCTAAACAGAGGGAGATAGAGGAATTTAGTAAGGAACGTTTTTGCAGTTCTCAGTTAGTTCTATAAAAAAGGTCATTACAAAAATTGTCGTATCTTTATTAGATTCCGGGATTTTCGATGAAAACCGGGAAAGTGAGAAATTTGAATTGAATCGATTACCGGTTCGTTAATAAATTGAAAAACCCAGCCAATTATTTATGCAATATTATTATGCAAATTTATGATGTAATTTTGTTAAGAGATATATAATAGAATAAAGTTAAGTAAGAATTTCAATAAAGATTCAATCGTCTGGTTTTAAACAAAAATCGTAAGGTTTTTATGGATTATATTTGCGCGTGTTGATTTCTCGGAGAAAAATTTCTGAATTCAGTGATGAGTAGAGAAAATAAACGTAAATAAAACAAAGGCCAACTTAAAAGTTGATAACAGGTGAATTTATTATCCCACACCGACGTAACAATGGATTTACAAAATAAGAGGTAACATTGAGGAAAAGTCTGAAGCAATTAGGTTCTTGAAGGACAACTGCTGATTCATACAGTAGGGTGCAGTCAGAAAAGTTTTTTCAGTGTTTTAATGAGTGGTAGATTGAAACTTGAGGATTTTCTACCTTTGTCCGTGAGCATTTCGTCGGCGAGCTCTTCACGAGCTCCGAAATCCCGGAGCAATTGTTTGTGGGAGAGATCGGTCTGGTTTTCCTTGTAAAAATCGGCTTTCTGGCCGAACTGATGGACAGACTCAATGTTAAAGAGGATTGTATAAAAACTGACTCGAAGTAGCTCTAGTGTAAGATTTTTATTTTTTTTTATTAAAAATGTTTCAATTACCGATTTTTCTCTCGTTTTCTGATAAATTGTTGATCGGATTTTATAATTATCCAGTAACTCCCAATGTAATTACGCAGTAATTTTCCTGTGTTTCTTCTAGACTTCAAGAATTTATAAAACTTTTAAACGATGACTGGAAAATTATTGTTCATTTAAGTTGAAAATGCAATTACAAGTGCGGATGTTTGTTCTGTAGTATATTTCGCCACTAGGCCGGTAAGAACTTTCCCGGCGATCGTGACTTTATAGTCCGAGGCAAAGCTAAGGAATGTAACCACAATCCTCAGGATTAGTATATTTCGTAACAAGTGCGGAAAACTCTCCTCCACATTGTAAAGAAAAATATTGTTCGCAACTCGTGCAGAAAGTGATTTTTGTCACGTGGGATTCGCCTTCGGCTCGTGCTATAAACCGCCGACAGGTTAATCACTTTTTCGCACTTGGTAGGAAATATACTATTGTCATTCAGTCCGTCGGCAGGGTTTTACGACCGCGCAGCGATCGCGAAACTTTTTGACAACTTTCATACAGTTCTTTTATACATTTGTGTTTTTTATTTTATTTTTTAAATATTGTCAGTCGAATAATAATGAATTAACGAATTAACGAATCAACGCTTTAATGTACAGTCTAGATAGAAAGTATTTGGTATTGGAGGACGGAGTAATCATCGCACGCTCCCAAATCTTTCCGAGTCATGAAATAATTATAAACTATAGAAAACGGTACATTTTCTCGGATTAACAATTTCGATCAACAATTTCGATCAACAATTTGTCAGAAAGCTCAAAAAGCCAATAATTTCGACGACAAGCGAATAGAACATTAAATCCGGATCTTTAAACATTTTTCAGCGAGTTCAGGATTTTTTATTTTAATTTTCAATGTTTAAATTTTCATCTCTGAATTGATAGTTAGGGTAGAGCTACTTTGAGGACTCAACTACTTAGAGTACTCACGTTATCTAGGATCAGAGGATTGGCTCCCAGATGCAGCAGCAGATTGTAGTAATGACCATTATCTGCTAAGGTTGCAGCATAATGGAGAGGAGTCCGACCGTCCACATCCACTGCATGCGTCGTCTCCGGGAACCTTCCAGCTAGGTACCTGGAAATGAAAAAATAAAATTCATGTCGATTTCACTCAAAAATTCATGCCGCCTGATGAACTTTAAAGTTCACTGCGATCGATTTCCCTTGAAATCAATAAAATTCTTTTACTTTAAAGCCTAAAGGGTAGAAAAATCAACAGAAAAAGCTGACAACAGAAAAGCTAAAAATCGTCGAGAATTCGCGTTTAAATGTCCTTCATCTTCTGGATTTAAAGAGCGATTTTTCCCTCCAGAATTTTTACTATTAAACATAAATTCGTGAATATCGATTCCATTATTCGTTTTTCAAACGATTTTCCTTTCTACAACTCGAGTTCACCATAAAATAGAATTTTTCCGAAATCTCCAGTCATTTAGATGAACTTAAAATGATTGAAATAATTTATCCAGAAGTGTTCAACCGACCTTATAACAGACGTATGTCCAAAAACAACGGCAACATGAAGTGGTGTAGCTCCATGTGGGGAAGCGCCATCCCTGGCGATGGCAAATTTGCGTCGATCCAAGGCATTCTGAAGATCCCTGAGATTGCCCTCTCTGGCAGCAATATGAACAGCATGAATTTTCCCCTGAAAATGTCACGATGAGAGCGAAACGCCAAAGCGAACCAATATAAAATAAAACTAAAAATGATAATTGATCCGTACAATGTATGACGGTACGTTATCAATGAACGCCTGAAGCTCAGGATTCGAGGATTGCCTATTGACCAATCGTCTGCCCTCGCCATTGAGTACAACCGAAGCAAGTTGCTCCATATTACCATTCACCAGTAGATGATCAATCTCTGGATCCTCAATGATGTCGACATCGTTAAAATCCCCCTCGATCTCTTCTTCATGCTCACCAGCGATAACCTGGGCACAATCGGATGGTATTGGTAATGGGAAAATGCGCATGAACGACGAAACGATATAAGAAAAAAATAAGCGATCAATATGAAAGTGAGAAGAGAGAGATAGAGAGAGAGAGAGAGATAAAAAAAAACGGATGGGTGTTAATCATACTCGGCAATCTTTTCTAAATGTGAATATTATCGATCGTGTGTGCTCGCGTGGTCACGTGAAAAAAAGGAAAATAAAAAACCTGAACGATTAAAATAACGATATGAATATGACGAGCTGATGCTATTTGTATGACGAGCCAATGTGGAGTAGGGTATGCTCTTCGGGAATCCCATTTTAACAGATAATACGGTTTTCGTACACGTTTTTTTATTGCTATAAGTTATTTAATTCTCATTGTCATTATCATCAATCTCATAACTTTGGTTCAATAGGACAAGTCGGGGTTTATTTTTTTACGGGGTGCATGTTGCTCGCACCTGATCGTCCTCGACTCGAGACTCGTCAACACCGGAATCACCAGTGCTACGCTCGTTTTTCTCATCGTCTTGGTTCTCCTCGTCGATGGGTTCAATATTACCGCTGTCTGCGTCTTCTGGTTTTTCTTCATCCTCATCTCCTGGCTCTGCGTCAGCTTCTTCAACGTCAGCGTCATCATCAGCTGCTGGTTCTTCTTCTTCAGCTACAGCCTCTTCCTCTTCTCCTTCAGCAGGAGCTTCTTCTTCTGCCTCAGCAGCAGTTTCTTCATCTTCTCCTTCGGCAGGAGCTTCTCCTTCTTCATCAGCTGCAGCTGCTTCTTCTTCACCTTCAGCTGCAGCTTCTTCCGCCTCTCCTTCAGCTGCGGGTTCTTCATCATCTCCTTCAGCAGGGGCTTCCTCTTCTCCTTCAGCTGGAGCTTCTTCCTCTTCTTCATCAGCAGGGGCTTCTTCCTCTTCTCCACCGGCTCCAGCTTCTTCCTCTTCACCCTCATCATTATCATCGTTCTCCGGCTGCTCTTCCTGCTCTACCAAATCATCCTTTAATCCCTCCTCGTCAGTCATCTGAAATAGGTAACTCTCTCCACCCTCTGCGAGTACTCTAACACGAAGACAGACATATTCACGCCAAAATACAGAACAAACGATGAATGAAGTTAAACGCAATCAGAGCAACCCCAAATGATAATTTAAAATTTTGACAAATACCAGAGAATGAGCAAGCCTGACACACACTGACACAACACCCTTGGCCTCATCTAAATCTATTCTTTCGGATGAATTTCAATCGTACCCCAAAGACATTCTCTGAGCTTGCTGCGCTCTTCAGGGCGCTCTCAGCACTGCCGAATGCACTGTCCACATCCACTTGGGTGTCGATTTTCTTCAGGGATCGCAGGGACATCCCATCGCTGTCCAGGATCCGCCAATCCCAGTGCTTCGGGTACTTTGTTCCTGATACTCTTGGCGCCTCTGGAATCACCACCAGGTTCGACAGGTCTATGTCACCCGGACGATTCTTGTAGAAAGCTGCTGCTTTGTTTCTCTGGGAATTTTTAAAATAATATCACCCTTGCTCCATCCATTCAAGCCGATAAGATCAATTTATTTTGGGAGAAACTATTTCGCTCCAGGATTTTGGGACAAAATCTATCAAATTGGGATAATTAATCAATTAATAATCCTTCGTGCACCCGCAGAATTGAATTTAATCTAGAAAATCTGAGAAATATTGGGGCAATTTTTCCTTTTCAGTCACACTTTCATCACTTACATTATCCAGTTTACTCTCGTCAGCTCCATATTCTGCTAGGAGTTCGTACATAGCTCCACCATCCCGAACAGCTGCCCCATAATGCAGAGGAGTTTTACCATCATTGTCCTGAGCAAGAGCTGCAGCTGGATATCTCTCCAGAATTTCACGCGCAATGTCCATGTACCCGAGACCTGCGGCCTGTCAACAAAATTTTTCTTGATTCTTGGAGGTGATAATGGAGATGCTGAAGACTCCAGGTAATTTGTACCTTATGGAGAACATTCAGACCGTTCATATCTTTGCTGCAGAGAATCACTGGAGATACTGGGTCTGCTATCTTCTCCAGGAAACCCTCGACATCGTTCTTCACCACGCCGTTGTGGATTTGCTTTATCGTACCCTGAAAATAATTTTCTTCTAGCATTTCTTTCTACAGAATTCATGAAAGAATTCATGAAAGAATTCATGAAAGAATTCATAGATTCGCCGAGAACGTGCCCTTCCATTTTTAGATTGAGATTTCATTTTCTTTTATTATTAAAAAAAATAATTCCATCCGTTTTTTGCCACTATTTTTATTGGAAATTACGAAACTATATTAATCGTTTTTATAAAAAATTTTTGACAGGAAAAATCGATAGATCCTTTCTTCTAGTTATTTTATTCTATTAAATTAAAAAAAAGAGTTGATAGATGCAGTCATTTTTAAATAGAAAAGTATGGATTCAGATTAAATGGTTGCCGTGAATTTTTGTTACCATGATAAAAGGTGTAGCTTCCAGAAACCTCCGAACGCGTGGATTATTACTGATCTCACATTTCAGCTTCGATCCGTGACCTTCCCAGAGTACTTGCTGCAATTTCGCAATATCACGATTGTGAATCCATATTCTTATATTCGACGGCTTGAAGTCTAAACCTGGTGAGCAAATTCGAAGAATTATCAATCACTAATCAATGGAGTAGCAATAATGACCAGTAGCATTTTATTAATTCGACTTAAACTCGACACGAACATCAAGTGAAACTCATAATTCTCGAATTCATGTAAACGATAGCGTGCACATTCGAATGAATATTTAAAACCCAACCAGTGGTAATCAGTTATTCATTTATGAATTTCAATTGTTTCCTCATTTAACGACGGGCACTGGCGAAATTACAATCGGAAAACTGCAAAATACAGGTGTAATTTACTCAAGAAGAACTAGAGTTTATCTGGAATAAAAAAAAATGAAGGGAAAAAAAAATAATGCCCTTCGGACCGGATGGATTTGCCCTCAACAGTTCGTCGAATTATCGAACGACGCAACTTACAGCTCATAAAAAATTTCCAGGGTATTGATTTGGTTTTTGTACTTAGGGGTCAGCGGAAAACGTGTTTCTAGGTGTTTACCTAAGCCTATAAGTCTTGAACCTATAAGTTTGAGTCGATTTTAATGCTAACTGTGAACATTTACGAAGGACAAACTTCCGCTGAGGTCAATTATTAGGGCTTTTAATTCTTGAGGGCCCCTTTTCGCCGAAGGGGTGACATTAAATTTAGTCACTTGTGAATTTTTTATGGGAAAGCCTAGGGTATTCCCTAAGAGACTATTTCAATTCTATTCATTTCGTTTAACATCTTTTCTAATTTACTCATTTATAATTCTCTGGCAATTCTACCGCCAATTTTTTCTATAAAATCGCGGACCTATGATTTTTTTTTTTTCGTTTTTAAAAATGAAATAGTCACAAAATTATGGACTTTAACGATATAATCGATAAATGTCTAAAAATATTGAATTTTCTAGGGAATTGTATTTAGATTTGATTAATTCCACTTTCTGCAGTGCAATGATTTTTTTATTCATGAAAAATTATTTACTGTAGAAACAGATTGATTAGGAATTTCTATTCGATTTCGATTAATCAAATTTTTCTGCAAATATTGAAATTTATTCTGTAAAAATTCCAGTGTGGGAATTTTCGATATTTCAGAAAGGAAAGGAAAGAAAAATTCAGGAATATCAGCCGAGGAAAATCCGGCAATTTTCAAATCGTAAAACGCAGGAGAAAGAGAAAAGGGAGGAGAAGAGGAAATCTAAATTTGATTTTGATATTAAATGCCGATTAAAGTCCGGAAAAGGGTCAGTAAAAAGGAATGAAGGAAGAAGGAATAGAATGGCAATTAGAGAATTTCCCTGGAAAATCTGAGAAAAATCAAACTCACTCTCGTTTTTCGCAGTATTCGGTTTAGTGGCCATGGCTTCAGCGTCAGGTAATTCAATTTGGGATGCGTGTTCTAGATAATAAGCCGCAGGATTTCCACGTTTATCGGAAACACTGGCGTCACAGCCACCCTCGATTAATAAATCCCAGATTGATTCTGGATCCTTGCAGGCGACGCAGAAGTGCAGGGCAGTCCTTCCCTCCTTGACATAAAAAAAAGATTCGATGAGTGGGAGGTTAATTGACCCCTGTGATATTTATCTGGGGGATTTCTCCGGGGAATTATTCTGGTGTCCTTTCCGGGGGATATCCAGTCTTCGAACTGGCAATCTTTCACCCTCGTACTTTCCAATTCACCCCCGCCGCCGGTGAAAATAGTTGGAAGCATTCTGTTAGATAGCCATCAAACACGGAAGCGGTTTTTGGTATAGAAAAGAGAACAGGTGGTCATATCGGATGATTATGGACGCGCACGCGATCACAAATCGTTCGGAAAATCCTATTTTCATAAATTTTTTTAACACTGTCAGTTGAGGGAATGATTTTCACCAATTTGTTAGGAAGATAAATATTTATTCCATATCTGGAATAAGAAAACTCGTTTTTTGGTTTTCTCTCGTTTTATAGGAAAATTCCTGATGACACTAGATGTTAGGTAGATAATTGTCAATGTGGATTATATTTTGGAAGGGAAAATGAGGAAAATTAGTCTTTCCGAAATTTGATCGAATACAAATTATCCAACTCTTGAGGAAGTGGATTGATTTTCGAGTGGATCTAGTGGATCTAGTGGATTTTTTTCACAGAAAATGTGGAGCCAAATTTTTTTTGCATTTCCAAACTTCTTGATCCTGATAATAAAATTTGGAAAAATGGTGTGTAAAAAATTTAGGGAGCATCCCGAAGAAATGAAATCCTCCAGGAATTCAAAATTTCAAAAAGTTGCGAAAATTCCCCAATTTTTACGAGTGATTAATTTATCCAGAACAAATTACTCATCGACTCTCGTTGGAAGTCACAATTTTTCCGTTCGTTTTTCCTGTGAATTTTTACTGAATTCTCTCTGAGGTGTCTCCTGGACCTGGACAATCTAAAAATAAATATTACCCGATCTTTCTGGACAGCAGTATTCGGATAGTTATCGAGTAGCCACTCAACAACATCCTGGTGATCATGATAAACAGCTTTGTGAAGAAGTGGAATTCCCGCGGCGTCTTTAGCGATAGCAAGTTTCTTTTTTGGTTCATCAGCTATAACTTTCTGGAGATCTGCCAAGGCACCCCTGGTAACTGCCTCATGGGCTTGACTAATTTTCGACTGCATAGAACAAGTCGTTAGAACCAATCGATCTAATTATCTTGGGCGATTGAAAATCTCACCAGGTATGTGGGAAGTCCCTTGAGGAAAACTCGTGTTCGAAGATCTGGCGAGTGTTCGTTCAATAGTCGCGAACCTTTACCCTCCAGCACGTAATGCTCAAGCTTTTCAAATTCTCCGCGTGTCAACCACGTTTTTATCATTGAAGCTGTCATTTTGCAAATCTGCCAAACGTGACGGTGACATCAAACGTGAAAACCAAAATTCATTAGCATGCATCACTCACTAAATAGATCACTTCGATCAAATTAACAATTTATATTAAACAGTGCGAAATAAAATCTCCTTCTCCCAATCACTAACTAAATTTTTCGATAAATACTATTTACGTTAAATTGATCTTCTTATTGTTAATGAAATTGCGAAAGTTCTTATCGAATAATTTTTTATTCGAGTGAATAATTTATTGAGATAAATAATAGAAAAATAATAGATTAAGATGAATGAATTGTTTTTTTTTTTATGGAAGAAACTATAAGTAACTATTTGTTGCAAAACGAAATTGTTATTGTTCAGGAACGAAAATTATTTCTATCAAATAAATTTAATCGGCAGAAATAATTTTTTTCTGTTTGCTGTAGGCATTAGGCATTCGGTATTATCCTAGGTCATGTATCGTCAGGTGTGTACACATTGGAGAATTAAATGAACATGCAAAACAATTTAACAAATACTGCAGAAATAATTATTTATATCGATTAAATATGCTTGAATCAAGTTAAAAAATCGCTGCATGAAATTTCCATTTAATTATCTTATCTCAAACCAGTTAACGACCACCAAATTCGGTTGATAAATAATTTTGCATGCCACTGCACGCATTCGAAGAATTTTGTTAATCCCCTGGGTCCTCCGAGAATTAGTCTGATAGTTTTTATTTTATTTATTTCCTCGTACGACAGAAATCGGTAAAGTCCCCGCTTTTGAAGAATTGCAAATAATCTGGTGAGCGATTGCATTATGCAAACAACTCCACATTATCAAGAACTGGTTTGATATAATAAATATTTCAATTGATTTCGTGAGTCATTGAGATAACACGGGTATGATAATGAGGAGTAATGACAACATGAGTAATTGAAGTCTTATTACTCCAATTTTTATTGGTATTCTACTATAATTCTATTGAAAAATTCCATAAATTTCATTTTACAAAAGAAAACTCTAAATACTAAACGACAAGTAAAATAAAAAATATAAATCCCTGAATTTTTCATTATCAAATAATTTAATAATCTTTCCCTGCAATTTCATTTTAAATATTAAAAAACATGATCTCCTCATCGGGGAAGAAGCCGGGAAATTCCTAATTTATTAAGAGCATAGACTGCAGTTATTTATAATAAAAATGAACATCAATGGATTATCAATAGATAATATAGAATATAATTGAGAAATGTGAATAGTTAGGGGTTTCATCCATTTGTTTAACTATTCAACCACAAACTGTGCCCCAGGGTGAGTAAATGGTGCAATGAAGAAGATCGAACTGGAGAAATACCTTGTTTGCCGATAATCGCTGGGAAATGGAGACATTCGATGAATAATATCGAGTGTGAAATAGCCGATTGGTATCGATCGCACACTCTCGATGAAGAGCGAAGAAGGGCCGGTGAAGGAATGGACAGGTACCAGGACAGACCCACCGACGCCACCTGCTTTCTCACACCCCTTTCCTCAAACTATATTCAATACATATACAACGCACCAACTAACTTTTGCAATGCTCACACCGGTTATTCTCACTTGTTCATTTCCCCGGAACTCCTAAAGTAAATATTAGAGGTATCGATTTCGTAATCGACGATTTTTTGAATTACACTGGAATGGATATTTGAATCCACAAACATTAAATATTCATTAGAGTTGTTCATCCCATAGTCGAACTTTTCGATCTCAACGTACATGGAAAAGTATACTTGATTCAAGTATACCTGAATATATTGTAAACTACTGAATATTGTTAATATTGTTGATTTTAGAACAGGGAAACATTGACTTGAGTCCAGATTATTTTAAATTGTTAATCTTGATATTTTTTTAATTCAAGAAAAAAGTATACTTTAATCGTGCATTTATTGTACATGATTCAAGTATGCCTGATGTACTTTAAACGAGTATATCAGTGTACTTGATTTTAGTACTTGAAATTATTGCATTGGATTTACACAATTTTTAATTTTTATTTCCATCTTGATAATTTTCGGAATTAGCCAGGGAAAAAGTATACTTCAATCATAAAGTTTCATACTTGATTCAAGTACACAGAATATAGTTTAAACTACTATATTAATATACTTGATTTAGTACTTGAAATAATTGACTTGAGTCTAGAGAATTTCCTATTGTGAATTTGAATAATTTTTTGACTAAACATGAAGAAAGTATACTTGAAGACTATTACACCCACAAGTATATTCCCATATAATTTTGAAATTGAACTTTGAGATCGAAAAGATTCTTACGATAACGATTTATTCGCAGTGGCACTTAATTGATTAATTAAGGCGAATAATTTTTTTCTTAATTAGCAATAGTTGAGGAACTATTCACTACACTATGATACTTGATGGTTGTCACGACCTTTGAGGACTGTAGTTGCAGAGTCACTGCAGCACCGGTGTTACACGTGGCCTAGTAGTCGTGTAGTTCGTTAATTATTCAAGATCCTGAACGGAAAACAACCTTTGCTGGGCACCCCTCAAATGTACGTTGAATTCTACATTGTAGTGCATGACATTTCCCGAGAGTCAAAGCCTCAGTAATTTCTCTATCTTCTTCCCCTTTTTTGCAACAAAAAACCACTGGACTTAGTCAACAATTGAGTCTCACCGCTGTTTTCTTAGACTTCTCTATCACACACCAACAGCAAAAAATAATAATTCATTCGTTTTTTTATTATTTAATAATTCATTTAACCTTTTTTAAGCTGGGAACATTTCTTTGCGTTTTTTATAAATTTTTGAAAATAATCACGAAACCAGAAAAACCACATGAAAATGTAATAATAATAAAAATTATAATAATATAATGTAATAATAATGAGAATGAGAATGATAATATATTTATGATAATACTGTTCTATTTTTGATAGAATAGAATGGAATAGAATTTAAGAAATATATTTAATATATATTCTTCCATTAATCCTATCTATCATTTGCCAGGCAAATTTAAAAAACATAAATTTTCACTGAAAGTGTGCACGTTCTTAAATTGTTCCGATATTCTTAATGAATTTAAATTAAAAAACTATAAACTCTTCGTTCCGGTTCAGTATTCCAACTATACAGCTTAATACTTGAAAAATAGTCATAAGTAGCTGAGGACAAGTCTAATTTTTTCTCGACCTAATTAATTATTTATTAATTGAACATCATAGAAAAGCCCTCATTTTCTCCGTTAACCCTGCGTTAAATTTCCCCGTTATTACCCCCAAAATATCCACGAATAGCACCGCCCACTTATTATACCTGCATTATTCTTGATGATCTATCCATTATTCGACCTCTCGACAAGTGCCACTGGACAAATCGAAGAAATAATTCATTGACCCCATTCCGTACACCGAAGTACAGCCTAAGGTCCGTCGAAGTATGTCACTTGATCATTATATTTGACCGAATCATCAATTATTTTCAGTTTCGTCATGCAGAAACAGCAGATAATTCTGTTTGTCAGCTGAAAATTCTTTTAAAAATGGATCATTTCGAATTTGTCCATCAGTATTCGAAGAGTATTCCGTTGATGACGACAATCCGTCATTATGAAATTTTATCACTTTTTTTTTTGGTGCGTTATTCTTGTCGATGCTAATGGTACGTTCTCAGGATAATTATCCATTTATTTACGCGTTTATTCGACAAAGCACGCAGAGGTGCCCAAAAATAGTCAACAAATTAACATACATGTTTTGTGGAATACAAGAAAATGATTCGTTATCACAATCAGAAGAGTAATTTAGTAGCGAAGTGGTATCCTAGGACGAGTGAATTTTTTTCCGGCCAGTTTTTAGCAAATATTTAACAATTGAAGGGAGATATCGAGTTTTTAAAAGATACATTTTTTGTAGCTTTCATCTTCTTCTATAAAAAATGTTTATGCAAAAAATTCTCTATGTCCCTTCAATTACAAGATATTTTCTAAAAACTAACATCGAAAAAAATTGACTTTTCCTAGTTTCCGATTTTACTACTGAATTCACATATCAATTATTCTTCTAATTATGACAACAACAAATTACTGTCATTATTTTATCCATTTTATAATGAAGATCTAAGTAATTAGACCGATTTGTGCGTGTTGTGAATAATTGGAAGTAATTACTGCATTACAGAAAGAAATTTGAATAGAACGGATTTGAAATGTGTTGGACGCCCGCACTATAACGTTTCATTAACCGCTTATTTTCCTGATTACGAGAGTGACAACGAAAATGACTATCTGGATGTGAGAGGAAAAAAACTGAGAAATCTACAGGTATTCTAATTTTTTCAATAATGGAATTATTAATGCGATTAGTCAAGGCCAACCAAGTGTAATTGAGTAATAAATGTTCTATTGCTAATTGCGTAATTTCGATTGCCTTCCGGCAGTGAGGATTGACTGAAAATTATCAAAAATTGGAATTCTTTTTGCATCTCTCTAGGATTTTATAGACGGTCGAAGCGAATATGTAACTGCAGCGATGGATATGATCCCTGAAGTTCCTTACGGTACGCATTTGTGTATTCCAGAGTTGAATGAACATTTTGGACGACAAATACATATCCAGGTGAGAATTCAATGCAATCCATTCCTTCCATTTACAAAAGATGAATTTATTTAATAAAACGTTGAGCATTCAATTGAACATGAGATTTCTCCAATATTTTGCTTTATCTCCATTTTCCTTCAGAATTCTCATTTTGAAAACAAAATTTTTTCTCTAATAATTAAAAAAAGGTTGAAGATGCATTTTTCAAGTTTTTTATTATTAATTCTGTACTAGAAAAAAATGGTAAGAATTTTCCTAGAATTTCTGGAGTTTTGGAAGAAACAGAATTTTGAAGGAAACATTTTCAAAATCTTCACTGATTTTTTTTTGTTCGATAATTTGAAATAATTATATTCATTTTCAAAAAAGGTACGAGATTATGGAGGGAATCTGAAGGATCAGGGCTTCTCCCAGGTTGATATCTGCGTCAGGAGCGAAAGTGATAGTTATGATAACGCCGTTAACAGATTAGTCACGGTTTATGTGTAAACCCTGATAAATAGTCCATGAAATTGAACTAGATCTTGTGGATATCAAGTTCCTCCATCGCTAAATCAGTCGTAATCTCTATAATCATTTTGCAAAACCTATTACCTGACAATTTACGTCTTACCGTACCTACTGATTTGATAATAATTAATGAATAAATACTATCCCATGCCGCACGGAATAATTACTATCCAGTAATTTCCATGAAAATTTATCATTTTCCTCAGAGACAGGAAAATTGTAATGCGGGCAATTACGACAGTAATGAAGGCATAAAAAGTTCTATTAAAAGATTCCATCGGCTTTGCGACAATTGTCTTTGATGTTATATTATAATCTATTCATTATTTGTTTATATTTGTTTAAATTGTTATTTAAATACAGATGACAGTGCATTGAAATTGTAGTTCTGGCGAATGATTTACCGGGGTATAAAAAAATGTTTAGGGGTCATATTTTTTGCCAATTCGGCCACGTCTTAATTAACTCATACAATTTATCTCCAGGACAAATTGTGGTTGTTGTCTGACGGTGCCCGAAGAGAGTGTAATTAGTCATGATTTCCCCATTTGCGACACCAAAATCTATTAAGGCCTTGGCAGCTTTGATGGCAGCGGGTTGAGGCACACGACCTGAAAAATCATCACCAAATAAATTTAATACCAATTTAATTAATCCAGTAGCGAAGATAAACGACTAGTCGTTTCATAAATCACTCTCTCGCAATTGCCAATTGATAAACTTTCGCTGAATTCATGATGATTGATTCTTTCAAATCATCATCTTTCATCTCAAGTATGTCATTACAAAAAAATGAAAACGGAAATAAAAAATGATAACTAAAATAAATTGATGTTAAATTTGTGTAAACTAGAATGTTCTGGAGATTTATTTCAATGGAAAACTAAATGGATGATAAGAATAAAATGAAAAGAAAAATTTTGGGATCAGTTAAATCATTATTTAATAATAAAGATTATTTAATAGTAAAGAGGTAAAGCTCACGTTGGAAATTGCCGATGAAACAGATGCCCATGCTTTTTGTATTGTAAGAAGGGGAATGGGCGCCTCTTATTCTCCAGCCTCGACCCTCGTAGATATTTCCATCCTCTCCAACCAGGAAATTGTATCCAATGTCGTCCCAATTATTATGGTCCATGTGATAATTCTGAGACAACATTTAAATTTACAACATCTATCCGTAATTCATCGATTCTAGGGGTATCCGACTATTATCATAACATTTGCCCCTGACTCACTTGCAGCTCGAGGCTATCACCCAGTCAGTTTTATACGTGGGAATAAATTTTTAGTGAATACTTGTATCGCACGACCTCTTTTGCAGGTCGAGTACTCATTTATTAAGGGTTTATCACGTTTTTTCATGTAAATTGTTATTGAAAATGAGGAGAAAGAGGTCAGAATAAAGTTTACTAATACCACGTACTCGTTTTCTGATTGTATCAGTCTGGAATGTTTATTTTAATACTTAATGATTTTGGCGAAAGGTTTATACAGATGGTATTACAAAGGCATAAATTTTTGTAGAGGAAAGCAGGATACTAAATGCTATCTTCCAACTTTAAAACCATCTACATGAGGGAACTCATTAAATAATTAACAATGCAAACATTAAAAAACTTCGGAGGCATATGGGTTTGGAATAATTATTTTCTCACAAATTTTCCATTTGCAAATCTATTCTTTTAACTATCCCAACGAGTACCGTTTCATACATATGCCTTTTACAAAAGAAAATCGCCGGAAAATCCATTTGATGGAGTGAAATTTATGAAATTCAAAGATTCAAATATTAAATTATTGAATTATCAATTTTTAACTGCATAATTTGACTAATAATTCATAAATAATCAAAGCAACAATGAAGTCTGTCATTTCTAAAATATTAAAAATAGTGTTAGAATAGATATTAAAATATTGAAATATTAATTCTCTCCTGCATAATTTACCTGATAGCTGATGAAAATCAAAATAACAATGCAGTTTGTTATTTTTCCGGAATTTCTACCTCTGCGCAATGGAAAAATACGTTTAGAAAAAGCGAGTAAACATATTTAATTACCTGAAAGGCTCGTACACGTGCCTGACAAATCGCTTGCGAAGTACATCCGTCTGAATCAGCATGGTGGATGATAACAAATGGAGGGGGGTTTACTGAAAGTTGCTCAGGTGTTTTCCGCGGGGGTCTCGCACCCCATTCTGCTCTTTTAATAATTGTCGGAGAAGCTACAAAATAATATTTCAATTTGTACAATAAATACACCGCGCCTCATCTATTACATCACCTAAAAAAATGCTGCAATTATTATTTTCAATAACTGAGGTTGCTTGATTCAGGTAAATAATTGGAGTTCTGTCTTGAATCTAGTGAACATAACACATTTGATTACCGAATCCTTATTTTATTTAGAAAAAAAATTAGCTTCATGCTGTGTACGTTCCATACTTCAAGGTGTTGTTCACCGATATATAACCAAAAGTAACGTTTTTTTTTCATTTTTCTGGGAAACTTACTATTGTTGCATTTTTCAGCGTTTTTTTAATCTTTTAAAATCAATCACAAAACTATAAAAAAATGTATGGAAATGATAGCATCACCAGCAAGCTTTCTGCGTCATTAAATAATGATAAAACAAGAATGTTATATATTTTTTTTAAGATACATTCATTTTTCATACTACCATTACAGTTTTATAAGCGTCTCTGGTCTTGTAGCCTTGAGCCTCTCCTTATCCTTTAACTTCTTTTTCGTACGAACCTCATATTTTTCTACATTAATCCCATCGATAATTTACCAAAACTTGAAAAAATGTAAACTGTACGTACCACCGAACGCTTGACTCATCCATGATAACAAAAAGAGATTCACCCCGATTGCTACGAGAACTTTCATCTTCAAGAGACCACGAGAAACTGACGCTTCCCGTCATCTTCAAATACAATAAAAGAGTATTCACAGATTCATCGGGGGTTCCCCTCACTAATTGATCACGTCATTGACCCGTGAAACCAATCAGAAATCGATTCGCTATCATCGGCACTCGATGAGCAATAACAGAAAACGATAAGTCGTGGATTGCCAAGTATCACCCGCTTTAATCGTACAAAATTAAATAATTAAAAAATATCAATTGACGGAGACGTTAAATACTATAGACTCATTGATAAAATATATAAGAATAGTATGAGTAACCCACCACTTGGGACTTCACTTGAACGAAATTTTGAGGAATCTCTTGACAATTCTCATTCTTATTTACTGGCATATGATGAAATGATGGAGTAACAATAATTGATGGATATGATGATTGACGAGGTGATAAGAAGACGTGTAATCACTCCATCACTCGAGCATGAATAAATTATATTTACATGACCAGAAGTATTGAACATTCATTCGCAAATCAGAGCAATGTGACCACATTAGTGTCCTTGAACGATTGTCCAAGCCCATTGTCATTGTAATTACTTGCATTCACTGCACAATTGCTCATGCAAACTGGCGTGGGATTGGCCGTCCATCTTGGCATCTTCATGACGTATTTGTAAAATGTCTCCCCCGGACATACGGTATTGCGCGCCTGGCGGTGCCCAATTACGTTATAATCGGGACTTATTTTTCCAAGGGCTACTCCACAGGTTATTAACGAGTCCAGGGCCTTCAGGGCTCCTTCATTCGGCAAAAAATCTGTAGAAATTAACAATTAAAACAAAGTTATCAACAAAAATAAAGAGAGAATTGTTCCGATTGTCGTAAATCTGACTATATATTAACATAAATATTAATGATCGATATTAATATTTGAATATAAAATGAAATTCAGATGACGTGATTGAAATTTGAAGAAATGATCAAAAGAAGTATTTAGGAATTTTTAGTGAATGCTAGAATGTTTTTCCCTCAATATGTCTCTAATAATTGGAAGAAAGTTGGGATTTTGGGAATGAAACGTACGAGAGAAATCTCCGATGACTGAGACCCCGATGCTTTGGGAATTGTATCCTGGGGAATGGGCCCCGATGTAGTCCCACCCTCGGCCCTCGTAGACGTTGCTGTCCTCTCCTATGACGAAGTGGTAGCCAATATCCAGCCAGTGGTTCTTGTCGATGTGGAGATCCTGGTACGATCGGACAATCTCGGAACATTCGGGTTGATCGTAGCAATAATGAAGGATTCCACCGTGATGAACAACAACGTAAGGTGTTGGCGTCGTCCACAGGGGTTCCAATCCACTCACGTTCCGGGCATTCCATTCCTTCCGGGATATTATCCTCGGGCAGATGACATCTACGAGCAAATCCGCACTATAAACACTATTTTTTATAAACAATTAGTGTTTCATCAATTTTTTTTCCGCTTTTTTGACAAACAGCTCAAGTCCATTTTGAATCTTTCCCAAATTTCCATGAAAATCTCGAGATCTAACGGAGATATTGAAATTTGTGATAAAATATTTTCTGTAGAGATAATTGAGAGCTACAAAAAAGGTCTTATGCAAATTTCTGTATTTTCCGTCGTTTCCGAAATATTTCCATAACTTGATTTATCTATTTGCTACAGGTTGCTGATAAACTCTCGATTAATCTCGTATTCTATTGATTTTAGGAGAAAGTATGAAAAGACGTTGTTTGTCGGAAATTGAATCAGCTATAAAAAAGTTCTCTAACGTTTTTACTTTAAATTCATAGTTTTCAAGGTATCAAAAATTTAATCCAGTGGGAAGTTCGACGCGTTTTACTTTACCACTTCACTATCGATTCCTTCAAATTTCATGATTAAGAGGATAAATTCCACATTAAAAATAAACAAATTCGGAGGACTAGCATTAAAGAATAATGAAATCCATAAAATCGCGGACATTAATGGAAGAATTCTCGCAATAAAAGGGGAAATGAATTTCGATCTAATTTCGTTTCGAGAGTTTTTTTTCTAATTTTTCTTCAACGCCTGGAACAGGCCGTAATTTAATAACAAGTTAATAAATACCCAGGTTCAATTCTTCGGAAGACACCGGTAAACCCTGCGCGGCATTCCAGAGAAGATGAATGGCGGATATTTGCAGAAAAATTTCAATAGTTCTCATGGTGAGACCCAGTCGTTTCGAACTGAGCTAAAACAAAAGGCTGAGTGTATTTAAGCAAAAATAATTGCTCCTGTACAGGGAAGTCCCTAGTGGTTCTAGGCTGTTCAACTCCCACTCTATGACGCGAATTAACCACGTGTAGACCTCCAATCTCGAGTGTCAAGAATGCACTGTAATGCGACTCTGATTTCTCCTTCTCGCCGGCAATTTTTGTGTTTTCGATGTGAATAAATATTGCTGCTGCAGGAAAACAAATCGAGGAAAAAGTCAATGGTGAGATAAATGAGACTGATTGGGCGGTGAACGAGGAGCTGAGGATTGATGGATCTTATCACCTTATCCACCGGCGAAATAAGAAGTTCGGTGATTAGATTGTAATTGTTGTCGCCTGTCCTGACAGCTCATTTTTTTTACATGACAGATGTAGATTTCTCTGATTTCCCCCTATCTGCCGGTGATGTCGATTGGAAAATCGATAGACTGTGAAAAATTTATCCTAAAATTTGCCCCAACGTGGAATTTTTACGGAAAAATCGTAATTTTTCATACGATGGCTGGGGACTTTTCCGGCGATTTTTATCGGAATGGACGAGAGGAAATCTGAAATAATCAGTGAATTCTCATCATCGAATAAAGTATGAAATTGTCACGTTATTTTTACTGAGGAACGAGAATTTTCCGGAAACTTCACGATTTATGTAAAAAAAAACAAGTTTTCCCAATTTTTATTTATTTCTTCATTTGATATTTTCAATTTCCTAATTATCGTGGGAAAATGACGGAAAAGACGGAATGACTTGTTGTTTTGAGAATTATGAGTTATCGGACATTAACTACTCAATTAGTAATTAATACTTCTCACTCATACAGTTGTAACTTGAGAAAGGAAATTTTTCTTGTTTTTTTTCCGGTGTAATTTTCATTGAAGTTTTTTTAGGGTGAATTCCTCGTTTTCGACGATTGTTCGATTTTTAATTTAGCTGTGTTATTGCAACAGGGAAATGGAATATTGATAAATTATTTTACTGAGGAATATGAGTATTCCGAGTACTGCATGAGCACTCAAGGTCGAATTTAGTTGCTTCCTGTTGTTGGGGTATAATTGTTGAATGCGTAATAGTGTCATTTTCAAGTTGATAGAAGGGGAAAGACTATTGCATGGGGTAAAAAACTTGTCATAATTTCTGCATAATCTCCAAAATTATTGCCTGATGTTTCAAGGATAAATTCAGTAACAAAGTGTCATAAACTGACCTCGAAATATTCTTTAATCATTCAATTATCTCGAAAACTATTAACGGTAGACGGAAATATTGAAGGACTTTTTTGGAGCTGATGAAATTTTCTACAAAAAATCTATTTTGACATTTTCTCTTTAAATGAGTACTTTTGCAGATTTATCGATATTTAACAACAATAACGATCAAATTGAAAACCTGCATTTTGTTAGGGAAGGAAAATTATTAAATTGCATTAAAAAATTAATTAATTGGGTATGATCCAAACAGCGAAATTGAAAATTTGTCCATATATTAGCGAATGCGATATGTATTTCTGATAAAATTTATTCATATTTATTTACTGTTTTCCTCGTAATACCGGGAAAATTTTGTAGATTCCTATTTTATTAACATCCGAAGACACGTGGGAAGGCTAGTGTTTTTTTACAGCTTCTACAGAGGATTTAGAAAGCCTATGAAAAATCTTTAACGAGATTATATTTTATGGAGCTGGTGAAAGATTAAAAACATTTAAGTGGAAAATGTTTAAATTTGGATTTTCCGGCGAGGATTCGCCCAATGGTACGTCCAATAATTCTTTATTGCTCTATCTGACTGAAATTATCAGACTTCATTTGGATTTAAGGTTAAATCCTTGTATGCCGGAAAAAAAATACAATTTATTGCTACAGATGAGAAAAATTCGGACGCGGAGATCCATTGGTTTCCCGCCAGGGAAATTCAAATTTCCGATGAGCAATTGTCAAGAGAGTATGACACAACGAGTGCTGGTTTTAGTGGTATTAATTTAAAACTTGTACGTTCGGATAATGTGGCCTTGAATGTGAGAAATGAAGAGCATGAGAATATTATCAGAGCCGAATCCCAGCACTCGGATCTCATCCCTGCGATCTATGAAGGTGAATTCTTTGAGAAAACAATTAGCCTTAATGGATTGACGGCTACTAATCCTTAGAACAATAATAACACGTCATGAAATTTGATACTTCATTAAAAACTTACGCAATTTACAACATTGCAAACAAGAATTCCTGAATTCCTTTGAATTTTTAAAGCAATGTGTCCCTGAATTGTCAATTGGTATTAATGATTAATTGTTCAATTATGAAATTTCTCTAAATTTTGATCAGATAAATATTCATTGATTGATTATTAATACTTGCTGTTATTATTTATAATCGATTCATCTCTAAGTGAATGTCAATAATTGGAAGAATAAGACTTATTATTAAACAGAACAATTAATTAAGTGGAGTGACAGGTGGTTTAAAGATCTGGGAATGCACTCACGACTTGAGCGAATATTTAATCGGCCAGGAGATTAATTTGAGAGACAAGAGAGTTCTTGATTTGGGCTGTGGTGCAGGCATTCTCGGGATTATCTCACTATTGAAAGGAGCTACCGTTCATTTTCAAGATTACGTTCGTATTCTGTTATATTTAATACTTATATTTCAGAGCGAAAGAAAATGTCCCTTTTCCTAACTACCGATTTTTTTTTTAAACTATTGATTCGGGATGAAAACATTGAAGATATTTTCGTAGCTATTTAAGGTTTCAATTATACAGAATTCAAATTAAATAATTTCGCTCTTTTAGAATTCCGAAGTCATTCAGTTGCTGACAATACCAAATGTTACTTTAAACTCAACAGACGATAATGCAGTCAAAGAAAATTGTAGATTTTATTCTGGGGATTGGGCTGCTTTCTCTGAACTATTTTCAAATAAATATTTACTCGAAGAACAGAAATACGATTTCATCCTCAGCAGTGAGACTATTTACAATGCGGAGAACCACGAGAAATTGTATCAGGTGTTCAAAAAGTGTTTGAAGAAAGATGGGATTGGGTAAGATTGCATCCAGTACAAAATATTTCCGTAGTGAAACACTAGAACTATAAATTCTATTCTACTAATAATTTATTGCTGAGTTTTTCGAAGATATCTTCGTAATTAAGGGAAATAGCGAAATATTTATGGAAATCTTTTTCATAGAGACAATTAAGATCTACGAAAAGTTTAAGGCCCGGGTGGACTACCTATAGAACGTCATCTTTTGTTTAAATTTTATCTTTCTAGCCTAAAATACATAAAAATTTGGGATAAGTTTTGAGGTCATGAAAATCACTGGATTTGGCATGAAAAAATAATGAAAAAAAAGAGGAAAAAATTTTGAAGGGCGCT